CTCCCTTTTCCCTCTGAGGATGGGTCAGCCTTTAGCACAGCAGGCCCTGCGGAACTCCCTGCCACAGGAATCGTCACTGCTGTCTTTTAGATGTCTCCCGAAAAACGTGTTACTGCTCAGGCAGGACTTTGTCACTGTGATTTCTACCAACCAGCATTTATTGATGCTTTCATTTATTTTGTTGTGCTTTTTTTGGTGGTGTATACCACCTTCCTGTATTTTTATGGAATCATAGAGCTGGAAGGGACCCAAGGGTCATCTAGTCCAACCCCCTGCAATGCAGGAATCTCGGCTAACGCATCCATGAGCTGCCTATAAATAGTTCAATCCATCTGCCTATAAATAGTTCAGTCAATCAGTCAATCAGTTTAGGGCCATGACCACAGAGATGGGTTGGAGTGGTGTTTAGGGGAGGGCAAGGAGTCTCCCTAGTGGGGGATAGGGGTGGGCTCTAGAGCATGGGCAGAGGGCAGGGGGTGCAGCCTCCTTGCGGAAGCTCAGCCAATCTGGACCTGGAAGGGAGACACTGAGTGGTATGCATTGCTTAGTGTGGTATGCATTGCTTACCTTACTCAGAGTAAGCCCATTGACATTAAGGGGTGTGACTAACTGAACTCCAGGAGTTTCATTGCCCGACTCCCCCTCCCCCCCAAAAAAGAAACCTGGGAACTGTAGTTTGCTAAGGGTGATCTGTATTGGGTGATTCGGTATAATTTGCAGGAAAGTCATTTATTTTTAAATGCATGACGTATACGCGGCCTGACTGGAGTCTGCCCACTTTTCAGCTCTTGCTACGCTGCGATGCTTGTGGTATGTGGGTGTCCCTGATAGAAACCACACCTCCCTGCCTCAGTTGCCCGGTCTGTACAATGGGGCCAACTCATCCTGCTTCCACAGCCTCACTGCCCAATGCCAAGCTCTCCAAGTCGCCCCTTCTCCCGTCAGACCCCCTGGGGACCCCAAACCAGAACAGGTGCGCCCATTTCCTGGCCCGCAAAGCTCATGTCTTCCTCCCAAAATCCCTCCAGGATTTTCAAGGCAGCCAGAGAGCGAGGGAGATGGTTCAGTGCTTCTGTCACCATGCCTACTGTCTGGAACATTGCGTTCCCGCCTCGGAGGAGTGGCAGGAGGAGAGAGCACTGTGTCCCCAGCATAGGCAGAGAGGATTTGTCACTGGGGAAGGATGCCAGGCAGACAGGGAGAGAAAGTCCAGGAGGAGCCCCCCTCCCCCCCTCCCTGGCAGCATCCTGGGTGCCCTTTCTTATGCCAGCAACATCCAGCACCTCTGCAAGAAGGGCACTGGTTGACCCCATCTCATTTCGGGCTGAAAGCACTTTTAAGCTCCCGGCTTCCCCTAAGAATTCTGGAAACCATAGTTTGCCCCTCAGGTTTCTGATTGGCCACTGTGAGAGCAGGCTGCTGGACTTATCCTGCAGTACCCTCTTAATTCCCAACTACAGTTCCCTTAATCCTTTGGGGGAAGCTATGCTCTTTAAAAAAGGGACTCAGGTGGTGCTGTAGGTTAAACCACAGAGCCTAGGACTTGCCAATCAGAAGGTCAGTGGTTCGAATCCCCGCGATGGGGTGAGCTCCCATTGCTTAGTCCCTGCTCTTGCCAACCTAGCAGTTCGAAAGCACGTCAAAGTGCAAGTAGATAAATAGGTACCGCTCCGGCGGGAAGGTAAACGGCGTTTCTGTGCGCTGCTCTGGTTCGCCAGAAGCGGCTTAGTCATGCTGGCCACATGACCTGGAAGCTGTCTGCGGACAAACGCCGGCTCCCTCGGCCAATAAAGTGAGATGAGCGCCGCAACCCCAGAGTTGGCCACGACTGGACCTAATGGTCAGGGGTCCCTTTACCTTTACCTATGCGCATTAAAGTTACGGTGTGTCCCCCAGCCCCAAATCAGAGGCTCTTTGGGAATAGATTTTGCCCTAAGAAGGCGGAACAGTTGGTCTGGAGGGGAGCTGGGAACCCCTGTGGTCCACCCTTCCTTCCCCAGATCCTTTGGACCACAGTTCCCATCAGCCCCAGCACCGCACCGCTGAGGCTCATGGGAGTTGTAGTCCAGAGCTCCCTTAAAAGCTATTTCCTGCCATATCTAAGAGGAGGAGGAGGGGGAGGACTCGGAGGGGTCTCTCACCTTCTCTGCGTGGACTTCAATCTGGTTTTTCGACGTGGTGATGATGATGTCTTCGGGGGAGAAGTCGCTGACGTCCACTGCAAACTGGTACGTGTCCCCCAAGGTTTTGATGTTCCCCATCCCTCCAGCACGGCCCGCTGTGAAAAAGAGGGACAAGGTCGACGTGAACCCCAGATCCCTCGGCACAAGGATCTGTTCCCGGGGCCACGGAAAGGTTCAGAGCCTTGGCCCAAAACTGGAAACGAGAAGAATTACTGACGAAAGAAGAACAGAGGATGAAATTGATGGACAGTGCAGAATTAGATAAACTAACAGGAAGGATTCGAAACCTTCGGGACCAGAGATTCTCAGAAGACTGGAGTAAATTTACGGATTATTTGAAAAGTGATTGTGATGAACAGATTACGCTGGTAGGTTTGCGAGAAGTTTGGTATGGCGAATTATTAGAAATATTGCAAAAAAGATAATGAGGAGAATTATTAGTTAAAGATAATTAAAGGTAATATGAAATTAAGAAATGCATAATAAGTGATAACGGAAAATCCTCAGAGGTGTTGACGGAAGTCCAAAAAAATATATTGTATAAGATGAGAAGTTGTGTTGTATGAATGTTAATTAATATGTTAAAAACTAATAAAAATTTGTTTGTGTGTGTATATATACAGTAGTACCTCAGGTTAAGTACTTAATTCGTTCCGGAGGTCCATTCTTAACCTGAAACTGTTCTTAACCTGAAGCACCACTTTAGCTAATGGGGCCTCCCACTGCTGATACTGGAGAAAGCGGACAGATAGACAGGTGTCCTCCCTCCCCCTCCGAATACTGGAGCTGGAAGTGAGAGAACCAGTTTGTTTGTTTGTTTGTTTGTTTGTTTGTTTGTTTGTTTTATATTTATATTTATACCCCGCCCTCCCCAGCCAAGACTGGGCTCAGGGCGGCTAACAACCAGTAATAAAAACAAGTTGTTTAAAACACAATTTAAAAAACAAGATTAAAATAAAAGTTTAAAGGATTCAGGACAGCGAAAAGGAAACCAAGTGACAACAGTTAAACTGTGGAACTCCCTCCCACAGGAGGCAGCGATGCCGAACAATTTGGATGGCTTTAAAAGAGAACTGGACAAATTCTGGAGGACAACAAAGTGAATCATGGTTGCCGCCCTCATTGGCAATGCTCTGCGCTCACAGCCAGAGGTTGAGATGCTCTGGTTTCCCATGGGCCAGGGGCTTCTGGTCAGCCACTGTGAGAACAGGAGGCTGGGCTACATAGATGGGGTCCCTTTGGCCTGATTTACTACACTGCACTGACCAGGTCCAGAGTGCCAGATCCTATCACACCTCCTTGTGCCACAGAAAAGAGCCCCAGAGTGGAGCATCAGTAAGAAAATCAGCAGATGTCTACCCCAGCTGCCCTCCCTCCCCCCTAGTATTGTTTCAGGCCTGTTCCTGAATAAGGGAAGGGCAGTGGTTGCTCAGTGGTTAGAGCTTTGCCTGCAGAACGCCCCAAGTTCAGTTTCCCATGGCGGCATTTCCAAGCAGGGCTGGGAAGGAGTTGATACTGAACAGGATGGAACAGTGGCTGGACTCAGCCGAATGCAGCTTCCTGTGGTCCTATGCAGCCAAATGACCTCTGCCTGAGACCTTGGGAAGCTCCTCAGAGGCGGAGGGAGGAGGAAACAGTCTGAGAGACTTCACAAAATAGCTCCTTCTGTCCTGGGGAGCCCCGTCCAACCTGAAGGTCCAATTGGGTTGGAGATGGAATGATCTGCATCTTTGGATCCTTCCAGTTCATCATTTACCCCTTTGGAAGTTCAGTGCTCCACATTAGTTTGCAAATTCTTTTTATAAATAAAGTCACTGCAGAAAATCGCCAGCATTTTAGTGCCGTATCTCCTAATATATTTTTGGTTGGCTCTGTTGCGGTTCAAGACGTGAAAACGTGGGAGCCTTAGAAGCCACATCCACCTTCAGATCACCTTTATACCACTTTTAACAGTCTTGGCTCCCCTCCCAAAGAATCCCAGGAAACGTAGTTGACCCACCACAGCGCTGCCCTCAACAAACTACAGTTCCCAGGCTGCTTTGAGGGAAGCCATGCACTTTAAAGGTATGGTGTGGACAGGATCACACCCAGGCACACACACACACACACACACACACACCCCGTTCCCACAGCCGCCTTGCCTGAGAAGCCCAGGGGCTCGCTGCGTGGCCTCAGGAAGCCCCCCAAATTGTCGCCGAATATCCCGTGTGCCTTCTCCATGGCAGCGAGCCTTGCTTGAGGAAAGAGCTGCGCCCCCAACAGTGGCTTCGACCTCTCCGAAGGGCTTATCCGGGAGAAAGAAAAGGAGGCCCCCTAATTCAAGCTGCCCAAGGCGTCCGGAGGCACCCAAGTTGGTTGGGCAAGGAGAGAGAGCAACTCCCTTCCCTGTTCAGCCCTCTCTGCTCTGCTCTGAGTCACTCTTAGGTGCTCGTGAGGGACTTCAGCCACAGCTGCAGCGCATATAAAGGCACTCTGAGCCTCTGGGCCGACTTCCAGGCCTCTTGTCAAAGTCTCTAAATTTAGGCACTCTAGCATCATCACTCCCTCCAACCATCCCGCTGGAAAGTTTCCCCGGTGGATTGGGGGGGGGGGACACACGGGCTCCAAACAAACAAGGTTGGGGAGATGGGGAGGAGAGGCAGCGTCATGGCTAGCATTCCTGCCGGCCTGGATAATAACAGCTCCCCCCCCCCCGGCGATTAGCCCTGCCTTCCAAAAAAAGGCGCATGAGTGGGCATGTGAGCCTGGCAAGGGATTGGGGTGGGGCGGGGAGGGTGAGTTGGTGGGACAGGAGGCAACAAAAGCAGATCCTAAAAGAACGATTCTCTGAGCTGGAGCAGAGAGAACCACTGGGATCTGGGCTGGCACATCAAGGCCTTGGGGACAGGACGTCGGGAGAGCCCCACAAACAACCGACCACAAAATCATGTAATTGTAGAGATAAAAGGGGACCCGAAGGGTCATCTAGTCAAACCCACTGCAGTGCAGGAATCTCAGCTAAAGAATCCCTGACAGACGGCCATCCAACCTCTGCCTTTAAATTTCCAAGGAAGGAGAGTCCACCACCTCCCAAGGGTGTCGAACAGCTCTTGCTGTCAGAAATGTCTTCCTTATGTTTAGTCGGAATCTCCTTTATCATCGTGGTCACCCTCCTCACCTTTTAGTTTGGTGTGGTGGTCTCCAGAAGTGGGCACAGTAGATCTGGATCTGGCCAACTGATATCGACCAATTCCTTGTCATATCCTAGCTCGGTCATGTGAGTCACTGACAGGAGTGTCGCTGGTCATTCCTGGAATTGGCAAGGCTCACTTGACGATTATGAGAAACGTCAGCCCGGCTGATGGAACTCTCCGCCACTGGAGATTCAGCAGGACTTGCCTTCTGTGCCAACGTTTAAATTCCTCCTATTCCGTCAGGTAAGAAGACATCCTTCCAAAATGGTTCGTTGATGTCCTTTTTTAAACTTTTAAATATGGTTTATATTTTTACTGCTGTAAACTGCTTTGATAGATATATATATATATAGTTACGATACAGCAATATACAAATATTTTAATAAATAAATAAAGGACCAGCGCCAAGTCCACCATCCTGCCTTGACATTGGCCAACCTGATGCCTCTTCCTAAATGGCCCTGAGCACAACAACAATTCTCCCTTTTTGCTGTTCCCTGCAATAGGATTCATAAACGTTTACTGGCTCCAGTTAAGGCCTAGCCATTGCGACTAGTTTGTGCCTACTGCTTTTGCTTGACTTGGCGTCGTCCAACAGAAAAATGTATATATTATATATACCATAGCCAGGGCTGTCTTAAGCGTATGGAGCGCCAGGGTGCAAAGATGCGCCCGGCAAACCCCCCCATACCCCAGGTTGCCCAGTTCCAGGTGCGCAGGAGAGCGGAGTAGACCGACTGCCTCAGCGACTCGCTGGCTCGGTTGCCCCAAACTCGTGGTGCTCTGACTGACGGGCTGGCTCTTCCCCGGACTCAACTCTCAGGCCCTGGACTCTCGGCCTATGAGTAAGATGGCCCTGACCATAGGTCAGTAAGGGGAGTAAAAAAAAGCTAAAGGACCACCTGATAGTTAAGTCTGGTCACAGACGACTCTGGGGTTGCGGCGCTCATCTCGCTTTACAGGCTGAGGGAGCTGACATTTGTCCTCAGACAGTTTTTCCGGGTCATGTGGCCAGCAGGACTAAGCCGCTTCTGGTGAACCAGAGCAGCTCACGGAAACGCCATTTACCTTCCCGCCAGAGCGGTACCTATTTATCTACTTGCACTTTTGGGCTTGCTTTCGAACGGCTAGGTTGGCAGGAGCAGGGACCGAGCAATGGGAGCTCACCCCGTCACGGGGATTCGAACTGCCGACCTTCTGATCAGCAAGCCCAAGAGGCTCAGTGGTTTAGACCACAGCGCCACCCACTTCCCTCAGTAAGGGGGGGGGGACAGCTAAATCAAGCATGCTCCCTTTCAAACAAGCCCAAAGGAAACCTGTCGGATTTGCATCTTGCCTCCTGAAAGAACGTTTAGAAGTTATTCCCAAAGAGTTGCGAGGCTCAGGCTGGAATCCAACAGGGGAAGCAGCGATGTGCAAAACCTCACCTGTACAACTCCTGCCTGCCTTGCAGCCCTGGAGGGGAGGGGGGAGATGAAAGGGGACGCCGTGAGCATTGGGGGAGGCAGTGCCAGACCCCCCCCATCTTGCATCCTTCGCCCATTTAAGGTTCCCTTTCCCAGCTCGCTCCGAGGGATCCCGCGCCAAGGCCACCCCGGGGCGCTTCCGCGCACCCGGCCGCCCGGAATGTGCCTCGGCGGGAGGCATTTCACAGGCAGCTCGGAGGAGCAGGAGGAGAAGGGGCTGGATCAGAGCTAAATCCGGCTTGCTTGGTCACCATCCCGGCTCAAGCCTGAGTCACCCTTCGCTGGCGCGCTCTTGCCAGGGACGCCTGCCAATGTCACGCCGATCTCCCTCCGCTGCTTCCCGCAGGAGAAGCTCGCCCTTAAGCCGGGAGCCCGGCAGGCTCCTCCTCCGGGTGGCGCGGAGGCACAGAAATCATTCACGCGTTACCTAGTGGGGGCATATTTGGGTGCGGAGGCAAACTGGCCCTGCCCCCCAGGGATGCCAACTGGAATAAAACATTGGGGGAGGGCAGGTAAGTCCCTCATAATCTTTTTTTTAATATAGAATTTTTATTGAATGATTTTATGTTACAAAAAACATTACCACCATCAGTGGCGTAGCGTGGGTTGTCAGCACCCGGGGCAAGGCAAGTAATTTGCGCCCCCTAACCCGTGGATTTGCGCCCCCTAACCCGTGGATTTGCGCCCCCTAACCTGTGGATTTGCCCTAACCCCAGATGTTGCGCCCGGTGCAGCCGGCCCCCCCTGCACCCCCCACGCTACGCCACTGACCACCATACTACCTCAAAATATTATTGAGAAATAAAAATGACATACATCAATATTGTGTTTGTTATTTGTTATTTCCCGTCTTATTTCCTCCCAAACATTTCATACAAAACACCCACCTGCACACACACGAAAAATAATGATAATAATGAAAATAAATATTTCCCCCCTTTTATATTACAAAATCTTTTTTTCAATTTTGACTTCCTGTCAAGTCCCTTCGCATATGTTTTACCTTACAATTGAATGTACACAAAGCAATAAACCCCGCACAATTGATCACACACGCACACCATTTGAATGGCAATGCACATCAACTTTGGGGGGGGGCAGTCCCCACAAAAATTTTATTGGGGGGTCGATGGTACCTTGGCCCCTAGGAGTTGGCTCCTACGCTGCCCCCCTGTATTTTGTTTCATAAAACGTATATACCCTTTGATTTGCAAAAATATAAGCAAATTATCAGCAGCTATTTAAAACGTCGGAAAAATTTAAACCAACTGATTAAAACCATGTCAACAGTCTGGGTATCTGTAGAAACAAAAATGGTGGGGTTTTTTTTTAAAGCGGGCCCCCAAAAAACCATCTTGAAGGCACCTGACATCAATAGGCAGGGAGTTCCAAAGTGTGGGCGCTGCTGTGCTATCTGACACAGTTCTCCCCAACAGTGGCGTAGCGTGGGGGGTGCAGGGGGGGCCGGCCGCACTGGGCGCAACATCTGGGGGGGCGCGCTCGCACTCGCAGCTCTCTGCCCCTACCGGGTTAGGGGGCGCAAATTACTTGCCTGGCCCCGGGTGCTGACAACCCATGCTACGCCACTGCTCCCCAATGCTTGAGAAAAGATGGGGCTCACATTTTCCAGTTAAAAGGGATGGTTTTTTCTGCCTGCGGCCTCTCTCTCTCCCTGCCCCATTTCCAGGAGACTTGGGGGAGCTGCTCTCTTGCAGTCTGGTCCTGCTTGCAGACTGCCCTTGGGGGGCATCTGGCTGGCCACGGAGAATGAAAGCAACAGGCTGAACTACAAGGGCCCTGGGCTTGATCCAGCTGCCTCTCCTGATGTTCTTATGTCTCTGGGCAGAGCAGAGGGAGCTTGCCTCTCTGCCAGGTACACAATGGGGACCATTCAGCTCAGCAACCCAGCACGGCCTTTAACAAGGAGGCACTGAGTGATGGGGGCATTTTCCATCCTGCAACAAGTGGTTCAGGGGTATGTCGTCTCTGCCCCCTCACCCATTATTGAGGGGAAGTGCATGGAACAGGTCTTCGATTTCTGGGAATGGAGTTGAGAGATGACCTGACCTGGGGAGAAAACAGCAAAGACCTGATGAAGAGAGCACAGCAGAGGTTATATTTTCTGAGACTCCTCCGGAAAATCTCTCAAAGGACCTTTTGATGGCATTTTACCATTGTACTGTTGAGAGTGTATTAACTTACGGTCTGTGTGTGGTTTGGGAGCTGCACAGTCAGGGAAAAACCAATGCTGTCCAGGGTTGTAAAGACTGCGGAGAGAATAATTGGCTGCACTCTTCCCACCTTGGATCAAATCTATGCTTCCAGGTGCTATAAGAAAGCTGCAGAGATAGCGCAGGATAGTGCGCACCCCGGAAATGATCTCTTTCAGCTTCTGCCTTCTGGAAGAAGGTTCAGGGTTATAAAGACTAGGACTAGCCGCCTGAGAAACAGTTTCTATCCAAATGTGATTTTGGTTTGAAACGCAGTGTAAGGAGTCTCTATGGGAGTGTATTGTATTTTTAAAATGGGATATCAGAGTTTTTAGGGGGCTAACTGGCTGGATAAGGGACGCAGGTGGCGCAGTGGGTTAAACCACAGAGCCTAGGACTTGCTGATCAGAAGGTTGGCGGTTTGAATCCCCGCGATGGAGTGAGCTCCCGTTGCTCGGTCCCAGTTCCTGCCAGCCTAGCAGTTCAAAAGCATGTCAAAGTGCAAGGAGATAAATAGGTACTGCTCCAGCAGGAAGGTAAACGTGTGCTGCTCTGGTTCGCCAGAAGCGGCTTATTCATGCTGGCCACATGACCCGGAAGCTGTATGCCGGCTCCCTCGGCCAATAAAGCGAGATGAGCGCCGCAACCCCAGAGTTGGTCACGACTGGACCTAATGGTCAGGGGTCCCTTTACCTTTTAACCTGGCTGGGATAGCAGGCTTGTTGCTTTTTGAATGTCTGATGTAGATTTTGTTTTGTTTTTCCAATTTCGTTGTTCTGTATGGGACAATGACAATAAAGATTATCGTATCGTATCGTTCAAACATACCCCCAGCGCCACCCCCAGTTACAGAGTTGGTGATGAGGGGGCATATTTAAAGGCCACAAGTATTGTCCCATCCAGAGCAGGCAAAAGCAAGTCCCATCTAGTCCAGCACCTCTCTCTGTCCTCGCAGTGGCCAGCCAGATGCCCACCAAAGGGAATAATGGAATCATAAGATTTGTAGAGCTGGAAGGGAACCCAAGGTTCATCTAGTCCAGCCCCACGAGCAGGACCAGAGCAGAGCAGCAGCAGCACTCTTCCCTTTGTGATGCCCACCAACTGACTTTCAAGGGTATCCTGCCTCCAACAGTGGAGAGTGTAGCCATTGCGGCTTGCAGCCATGAATTTGTCTAATCCTCTTTCAAAGTCCTCCATGTCAGTGACCATCACTGCTTCCTGTGGGAGGGAGTTCCATAGGTTAACAATGCACATTGCAAATAATGTGCTTCCGTGTGTTGTTTTCACTGATGCCCCCTTTTCCCCAAACTAATACATTTCCGTTGTGTGGCTGGGGAATTATATCATGAAGTCTCTTGCCACCATCCCTCCTTATTTATGATGCTTACAGAGGAGAAAGGAAAGTGCGGAGGCACAGCAAGGCCCTGCCCACACAGCCCCACTGCCCTTGGCTCTGTCTTTTGGTCACGCAAGAGTGTGACGCGTACTTTTGGGAACTGGAATGCAGGCATGTACTCCGCAGATGAGCTCCTGCAACTGAAATCAGATGCTGGCCCTCAAATCTGGCTCAGACAACACCCTTGTGGTGTAGGAGGGCTGGATCCCAGCGCAGGCAAACTGCTTCTTCCCTCGCAGCCCTTTTCCTTGCTCCTGAGTTGCTGCCAGGCCAGTTCCTTCCAGCTCAAGTCTGCCTGGATCCCTGAAGGGCACTTTCTGCAAGGTCCCAAATCACCTGCAGATGGTTAGAGGTCAGAGAGAGGGGTGTGGTGGGGAGGGAGGGAGACAGGTGTGTTCTCTGGCTAGCGCAGGTGCAGAGAGACAAGATCCCGGAGAGGACACACCAGGACTTTTCCACCAGGGAGGCAGGGTAAGTCTTTTGCACGCTCTAGGGTTGTAGCGGGTTAACTCAGGCAGCCACCTGTGACTTGTGCACTTACCTGGGATTCAGCCCATTAAACATAGCAGGTCTTACTCTTGTGTAATGCAGCCTAGGGCAGAGCTGTGGGAGCCTCTTGCAGAAAACCCCCTGCAAGGGGGTCTTCAGAGAAGACTCTTGGTTGCTCCCGTAGCTGAAACGACAAGGGTTGCTCAGGGTGTTTTGTTGGGGTTAATTCTTTCCAGTTTGGTGGTTTTCAAGAAGAAACAGCAATCGTTGCCATGAATTCCTACTTGAGGCTGAAAGAGAAGAAGGAGATGTAAATTGCTAGCATTTTCTCTTAGAAATAAACCCTGTGGGAGGTGTGTGTGGGGGGGTGTCTTTGACTTTCTGAATTTTTGAGTGATTTGGCAGCCCAACCCTATGCTAAGCAGGAAGGTCCGCTTTGCAGGGTTTGCTCCGAGCTTAAGTGTGCACAGGACTGCAGCCTCAGGAACTTCAGAATATTTCATGTTTACACTTAAAATTATGCAGGGGGGCTACCTGGATCGACCTGTTTTATGTTATACTGAAGTTGTGGCCCGTAACTCCAGGTGCTAGTGGAGTACTCAGAACTCAGTTGTGCGGAGAAAAGGTGCTCTGTGCATGCCTAGAGGCACCCTTCCCCTCCTTCTTTGCATATTCCATGGCAATGTGGGGCTGAGTTTACCCAGGTCTAGGCTTGAATGAGCCGAAAGAGGGCCAAGGATGGATTTAGGGGAAGGGCCCAGAGTTGCTTGCTCAGTGAATTCAGCAGCACAGAGCCCCACAGAGTTGCACCAATTGCCCACAGGATCACAACTCCCACAGAGTTGGGAGGAACGGTGCAGCAAATTTGGTCTTTAGCCTTTCCTCCCTGCCCCACCATGTAGTCACCCGCTGGGAACTTTCCCCATTTTCAACAGGGGGTGCTTGCCAGCCCTATCAGCAGATGGATGCAGAAGGTCAGCAGAAGAGGAAGGATGGAAGGGAGGAGGAGGAAGAGCGGATTCTGATGCTGGAGCAGAGTTGGAAACCTTGGCCAAAAACACGGAGGAAGATCAGAGGTAAGAGAAAAGGAATGCAGGGATCTATAAGAGTCAGAGGATCTCCTGGGTGGTTATGCAGAGACAGGTTCCCTGTGCAGCGTCCAAGCTGGTCCTCAAAACCTTCAGCTGCTGGTGGGAATGCAGGAAGAATCAAGGCAGATAAGAGAAAGTCCTTTTTCAAACAGTGACCGCCACCAACCTAGATCGCTTGAAAAGAGGATCAGACAACTTCATGGAGGAGATGGCAATATTATTATTATTATTATTATTAATAATAATAATAATAATAATACAGTAATTCCGCTCACTCTGGGGAGCTTCCAACAAATTATAAAAACCACAGTAAAACTTCAAACATTAAAACCTTCCCTATACAGGGCTGCCTCCAGATGTCTTCTAAAAGTCAAAAAGTTGTTTATCTCCTTTGACATCTGAAGGGCGGGCACCACCACCGAGAAGGCCCTCTGCCTGGCTCCCTGTAACCTCCCTTCTTGCAGTGAGGGAACCACCAGAAGGCTCTTGGAGCTGGACCTCAGTGTCTGGGCTGAACGATGGGGGTGGAGACGCTCCTTCAGGTATACAGGGCCAAGGCCATTTTAGGGCTTTAAAGGTCAGCACCTTTAAATTGTGCTCAGAAACGTACTGTAGATCTTTTCAGACTGGTGTTCTATGGCAGCACCTAGAATTCCCTGACTATTGATATCAGGCAGGCCCCATCACTGTACTTACTAGAACATTTTTGTTTAAGGAAGCCTGCCCAGATGTTTATTAGAAAGCCGATGTCTTAATCTGTTTGCAGTCCACTGCTGTTTTAACTTTTTGAACGTTTCGAACTATGGTAGTTATTTCCCCTATTGGTAATTTTATTGCTTTATTCCTTTTTCTGCAAAACTGAGGTTGCTGTTGTTGTGTTTTTAACAGCCAAGCGGTATATATATATTTCCTAAACAATAAGTGCTTATGAGCGAGTGAGAAATCAAGGCAGAAGAAGAACCTGCCTGCCTTTGAGAGAGACGGGCTTGATCCGAATTTGCAAGCGAGGCAATGTGCCTAAAACGCTGTCATGGAAAATGCACGGTCTGCTTTCATGTAGGCAAGGCTTGTTGGTCCCTAAACGACAGTCCCATCTGATGGAGGCGGAGCTCTGTCGGTCTCGAAAACTGGCGCTGCGCCCCAGCCAAAAGGAACCCCGTGAACGCGCCAGAAATGTTTTGAAGCAGGAACAAGACCTTTCTCTGCCCCTACCCGGACGGCGATGAGAGTGGCCAACTGGGGGGGAGAAGGAGGTGGGAATGGGATTCCAACGCGGTGACCCAGAGAGGGATTTAGCTCTGGACCCACACGCTCCCTGGCCGGTCATTCCTGCGTCTGGCCAGCTCCAAAATACGCCCGGCGGGGAATGGGGAGGAGACTTTGTCCCGGACTTTGTGTTTTTCCTGCGTCTCTCCCCCCCCCCCCCCCAAGTACAAGTGGGACAAGACTGAGAGCCGAGCTGATTCCATTTGGTGCCAAATTGCTCAGAAAGGAACCTGAGATCTCTGGACGCAATAGATTTAACCTTGCTGCGGGGCACAACTTTTATAACTTCCAGCGCGCACTGGTGAAAGGGGGTGGGAAGAGGTTTTTGTGGGGGGGGGGGTTCTGTTGTCGCTGTCCCATCTTAAAGCCCTACCCCCAAGTGTGTCATGATCTGATCCAATGTTTATAAATATAGGCCTAGTGAGCATGAGCGTAGCATGGGTGCAGCTGCCCCCTCCAAAAAAATAAAAACCAATACAAATCTGAGGTTCCCCTCCCCCTCGCATCAAAAATCCTGGCTATGCCCATGCTATTTCCCAGTAGTGATGTATGGAAGTGAGAGCTGGACCATAAGGAAGGCTGATCGCCGAAGAATGGATGCTTTTGAATTATGGTGCTGGAGGAGACCCTTGAGAGTCCCATGGACTGCAAGAAGATCAAACCTCTCCATTCTGAAGGAAATCAGCCCTGAGTGCTCACTGGAAGGACAGATCCTGAAGCTGAGGCTCCAAGACTTTGGCCACCTCATGAGAAGAGAAGACTCCCTGGAAAAGACCCTGATGTTGGGAAAGATGGAGGGCACAAGGAGAAGGGGACGACAGAGGACAAGATGGTTGGACAGTGTTCTCAAAGCTACCAGCATGAGTTTGACCAAACTGCGGGAGGCAGTGGAAGACAGGAGGGCCTGGTGTGCTCTGGCCCATGGGGTCACAGAAGAGTCGGACACGACTAAATGACTAAACAACAACAACAATGCCCATGCTAGTGAGGAGTCATAGAATTGTAGTATTGGAAGGGATCCCAGGGTCATCTAGTCCAACCCCCTGCGATGCAGGAATCTCAGCTAAAGCATCCATGACAGATGGCCATCCAGCCTCTGCTTATAAACCTCCAAGGAAGAGGAGAAAGTGCATTTTCCCCTCCTGCCCTCATAACACTAAAATTCAGGGTCACCCGATTCAGAGGCAAATCAAAAGGACTTGTCTGCACTGTTGTGAAATGTAACTGACGGAACTCCCTGCCACAAGGTTCTGATTCGAATTGGCTTAAATAGGGAGAAGCTGACACACACCCACGGAGGGAGACGAGTCTGTTACAGGGGTGGGGGACTTCTCAGGTGCCATTGGACTTCAATGCCCATCAGCCCTAGTTAGCAAGACCAGAAGGTCCTGCAATGCAGGGGGCTGGACTAGATGACCCTTTGGGGACCCTTCCAGCCTTACAATTCTATGATTCTCGGTCAGAGATGATGCGAAGCCAGCAGGCTCCCCATCACTAGGGTGAATATGACGCAATGGGGGGAAAGGGAACCTCCATGTGCAGAGCCAGTCAACCTTGGAGTACTATTTCTTGTTAAATGAAAAACAGGAGAAGGCTTTTACCCTCACGCCCTGCTTGCAGGCTTCCCAGAGGCATCTGATTCTGCAGGGACGCTCCTGACATTCATATGCTGTGTCCTTAAATCTATAGATAAACTCCTGCAGCAGATTCTAATTTTTAATAATAAATAATAATAATAATAATAATAATAATAATAATAATACTACTTTTATTTATACCTGGCCCTCCCCAGCCAAGGCCGGGCTCAGGGCGGCTAACAACCAATAATAAAAACAAGTTGAATGAATACAACTTAAAAACAAGATTAAAATACAACATTAAAACATTAAAATGCAGCCTCATCACAGGAGGAAAAAAGAAAGAGGGGGAGGGAACCGTGTGACCTTAAAATTTCTCAGCGAGTTGTTTTCATCAAATTTCAAAACTGAAATGTCAGCATTTTGGGGGTGGGGTGGGGGGCGGTGGATTCCAATGTGTGCCAAATGAAAGGTCTGTAGATGCCCCCCCCCCCCCGCTGGGCGTCTCTTCTTACGGGTGCCAACGTACCTGACTCACCCTGGTCCTCTGCTGCCCCCTGCAGGCTGCCTGGAGTTCGTCAAGCGGCAACTTTTCCGCGTGGGGGACGACTGGTACTTCCTCTTCGCCCTGGGGGTCATCATGGCCCTGGTCAGCTTCGCCATGGACTTCACCGTCTCCAGGATGGCCAACGGTAACAGACACCCCCAGACTGCTCTCTGTCTGCCTTGGGTTCCTAATCTCTGAAAGGGAGCAGGGGGAACCAGGAGAAGCCGAGAGCTAAATTATTATTCATGGGATTTATTTAATTGGATTCTTGCATTGCAGCAGCTTGCTCTAGATCAGTGTTTCCCAACCTTGTGCCTCCAGCTGTTTTTGGACTACAATTCCCATCATCCCTTGCCACTGGTCTTGCTAGTCAGGGATGATGGGAGTTGTAGTTCAAAAACAGCTGGAGGCACAAGGTTGGGAAACACTGCTCTAGATCAGTGTTTCCCAAATTTGGGCCTCCAGCTGTTTTTGGACTACAACTCCCATCATCCCTAGCTAGCAAGGCCAGTGGCCAGGGATTATGGGAATTGTAGTCCGAAAAAACAGCTGGAGACCCAAGTTTGGGAAACACTGGGCTAAATGATGATGATGATGATGATGATGATGATTTTATTATTTATACCCCACCCATCTGGCTGGGTTGCCCCTTTTAAATTAATAGACTTTGCCAATGTTGGTCCATTATTTTCAATAGGTTCATTGTGAGTGTAAACCTTAGTAAACCACAGAATTGCAGAGATGGAAGGGACCCGGGGTTCATCTAGTCTAGCCCGCCCACCGCAATGCTAAAGAATCCCTGACTTAGTTGGATACTTAGTTGAATATTCTCCCATCAAAGCCCCTACAGGAAGGATCATAGCCTCCTCGCATTCATCCCCTTTAATGGGTTCATTCATTTAAAAGGCTCCTGTCCTGACTTTGGGCCCAATTAGCAGCAATTATTGACTTGCAATGCCATTTATAAGAACGACACTGTGGGATGTCGAAGCCCTTAGAACAAAGCCGCCTTCAGAAGCTATCCAGAAAAACTAACTTTCTTGCACAGCTTTTAAAAGGACTGGGCGAAATGTGAAGGCAGTGTGATGCCCTTCAGTTCACTGCTGAACTCCAACTCCCAGAAGCCTCAGCAGCCCGGATGACCAATGGTCAGGGGAATGATGGGAGTTGGAGTCCAGCAACATCCAGAGTGCCACATATGATTTCCATCTGTCCATTCATAGAATCACAGAACTGGAAGGGAGCCTGAGGATCATTTAGACAAGTGTTTCCCAATTTTGGGTGTCTAGCTGGGTTGTGGTTTGTTTGTTTGTTTTGGACTACAACTCCCATTTCCCCCAGATAGCAAGACCAGTGGTCAGGGATGATGGGAACTGTAGTCCAAAAAACCCCCAAAGAAGGCAGAGTAGTGATGGGGGTAGCCAGGGGCAGTAAAGGCAAGTGTCAGGGGCAGTAAATGGCCTGTGTGGTCCTCCAGCCATTGCTGAGGCAGCCCAGCCAGTGACTAGCGATGAGGGGAGTTGGAATCCAACTACGTTTGGGGGGGCATGGGTTCCTCCATCCTTGTGTTAAGCCGCCCAGTTTGAACCAGCTGCTAGGGACATGTCGATTTTCCTTTCTGTTTCTTTAGCCCACATGTGGCTTTACCAAGAGATTGGGGACTACCCGGTGCTGAAGTACCTCTCCTGGACCATGTACCCCGTTGCGCTGTCCGCTTTCTCGACTGGCTTCGCGCAGAGCATCACGCCACACTCTGCAGGTGAGCCCTTGGGTGGGCGAGTGGGAGCAGGGGTCGGCCACTGGCAGCCAAGGTGCAAAGCCTGTCCCAGCCCCAAACCGCCAGCAGCTCAACAGCCTGCCTGCCTGCCTGATTCCCTGGCAACTTAACAGCAGAGGGAAGAGAAGGAGAAGGAACATTAGGTACTCCTGCTCACCACTTCTGTCTTAACTGTCATATTTGCACCTCCTTTTCCTTCCGTAAAGGGACGCGGGTGGCGCTGTGGGTTAAACCACAGAGCCTAGGACTTGCCGATCAGAAGGTTCGAATCCCCACGACGGGGTGAGCTCCTGTTGCCTGGTCCCAGCTCCTGCCAACCTAGCAGTTCGAAAGCACGTCAAAGTGCAAGTATACCTTCTGGCGGGAAGGTAAACGGCTTTTCCGTGCGCTGCTCTGGTTCGCCAGAAGCGGCTTAGTCATGCTGGCCACATGACCCGGAAGCTGTACGCCGGCTCCCTCGGCCAATAAAGCGAGACGAGCGCCGCAACTCCAGAGTCGGCCACGACTGGACCTAATGGTCAGGGGTCCCTTTACCTTTACCTTCCTTCCAAAAGGAAGCCTGATGCAGCTGGGAAAGAGTGTAAACACAGTTCATTTGTAGAAGACTGGAGTGCAGGAAGCCACTTAGTTTGTACTCTGAGGAGAGGTCAGAGCTCAAGTGGTAGAGCCTTGCGTGCAGAAGCCCCCAGATTCAACACCTGGAACAGGGCCAGGTTAAGAGCTTTAGAGGCCCTAAGCACTTAATTGATTTTGATGTCCCTGGGGGGACACAGGGTTAAAAGGTAAAGGTAAAGGTACCCCTGCCCGTACGGGCCAGTCTTGACAGACTCTGGGGTTGTGCGCCCATCTCACTCTATAGGCCGGGGGCCAGCGCTGTCCGGAGACACTTCCGGGTCACGTGGCCAGCGTGACATTGCTGCTCTGGCGAGCCAGAGCCACACACGGAAACGCCGTTTACCTTCCCGCTAGAAAGCGGTCCCTATTTATCTACTTGCACCCGGGGGTGCTTTCGAACTGCTAGGTTGGCAGGCGCTGGGACTGAACAACGGGAGCGCACCCCGCCGCGGGGATTCGAACCGCCGACCTTTCGATCGGCAAGCCCTAGGCGCTGAGGCTTTTACCCACAGCGCCACCCGCGTCCCTAACACAGGGTTAGCATACCCCTAAACATTTTGTGAATCTAACAGGAGAAGAAACTAAAAATGTTAAAAATTTTAGTTTCTTCTCTAACGTGGTGAATTGCCAGTTCTATTGTTACCCCTGATGGTGGCCTATAAAATGGTGGTTTTCTTGAGTCAAAATGAGAGTACCCTTAAATTATTTTTTTTTAGAAAAAAAGCACTGCCCCTGCACATATCTAATTCAAAATATAAATAATAAGCAGTAAAATAAAATTCCATTTTCCGAAACGAAACAAAACCTACAGTAAGATGGAAAATCATGCTTGTTTTTGTATACTTCCACTTTATTTGTATTTGAAAAAAATTCTCCTGCTTTTTCTAATTGCAAAATCTTTGATCAGATTCTCAAAACATCTTACGTAATACATTTGCTACTATACTTAGTAGGCATCCAGCATGCCTTGTTTGTATAGTTGTTCTGTTGGGATTTGTAATATACTTCAGCTGAGAAAATGAACGCTCAGCTGAGCAATTTGTGGCCATTAATGTTAAAAATCCGGCAGTGGAAAATTTCCTGCGGTGCCCCTTCCCCTCAATGCCTGAAGCACGTGCTTATTTCGCTTAATGGTTAATCCAGCCCTGCCCTGGCAGCATTGTCGGGTAGGGCTGGGAAAGCTCCCTGCTTGAAACCCCAGAGAGCTTCTGCCAGTCAGTGTAGACAAGACTGAGCTCAATACGCCAAGGGTCCTCAGTTCCTGCATCTTAAAGGAAGGGTCTTCACTCAGCTCGCAAGGAATGCCACTTATAAGAACAACGCTCTGCTTTGCATGCCAAAGGTCCCTGGGTTCAATGCCCGGCAACTCCAAGTGGGGCCCAAGACCTTGGAGAGCTGCTGCCAGTCAGTGTAGCTGGATGGACTAATTGGCTAACTCAGCAAAGGCCTTAAAGGTGGGTTCCCTTGAGGCAAGACACAGTGATAACAGCAAGAACCTTTATGGAACCACATAGCTGGGAAACAGAGGCAAAGCAACTGCTTATATACATTCCTGAAAGCCTAGGTCACTCCCACTCCCAACGTGATTGGCTGTCTATGTTATGTACTGAAGTTCTCACCCTGGGCCAGCAGGGGGATACTGTAGATAGTTATGCAAATGAAGGATCGAAAGTGACGTTCAGTGATTGGATAGTTTTAGAAAGTTGCTACAGTAACATTGTACTGGAGCTCTATATAAGCAGGCTGACTGAGCTCTTCAGTTCAGTTCTGTTCTGGCCTCTGAATAAACAAGAGCTGTTTGAAGAATCGCTGTGTCGTCTGATATCTTCACCCACAACTTACCATATTTTTTGCCCTATAGGACACACTTTTTCCCCTCCAAAAATGAAGGGGAAATGTGTGTGCGTCCTATGGGGCGAATGCAGGCTTTCCCTGAAGCCTGGAGAGCGAGAGGGGTCGGTGCGCACCGACCCCTCTCGCTCTCCAGGCTTAAGGAAGCTATCCGCAAGCCTTGCGAGCCCAGCGGGAGGTCCCGCCGGCTCGCAGAGCTTGCGGGCAGCAGCCTGCAGCCCACAAGCTCGGGGATAGTGGGGAGGCGGAGCGCCGCCACCCCGCTATTCCCTGACCTGATCTGAAGGCTGGCGGGGGGAGGGAAGCAAGCTTACTTCTCCCCCCCGCCAGCCCCACAAGTTCGGGGGATAGTGGGGAGGCAGAGCTAGAGAGGCTAGAGAGGCTGTCCCTGAAGGCAGAAGAGGGAGACGGAGCGCAAACCTGGGGGGGGGGAATAAATCCCCCCCCTTGATTCCCCCCCCCAAAAGCTAGGTGCGTCCTATGGGCCGGTGCGTCCTATAGGGCGAAAAATACGGTAACAGTCTAAACTTCCAAACTGTGAATCAAGACTCAGGGTTCAAGGGCCAATGGCAGAGGCCCAAATCCTGAAATGTTCTGTGACTGGACAATGTGTATTGAATCAGAAGACAGGAGTTCAGAATCCTTAGTCCAGACTCAAGCTCAGGCAAACACAGGCCACTGAATACCTAACAGGCCTCCTATGAGGTGGGCCAGGGAGAAAGCTGTTGGGTGGGGCCAATGCAGAAAGAAAAGAGGCAGATCCTCCTCAGGAGGCCACCAGGAGGTCCCCCAAACAACCTGGAACCTCCTCCCTGTGTGCTCCTTCCAGGTTCCGGCATTCCTGAGCTCAAGATCATCCTGACGGGGGTCATTCTGGAAGAATACCTGGCCATCGAGAACTTTAGCGCCAAAGTCGTGGGCCTGACCTGCACCCTGGCATGCGGGAGCACCATCTTCCTTGGGAAAGTCGTAAGTGACCCGTTGGTCGGTCAAAGGGAAGCAGCCCATGGCCTCTAGGCTGCAGAGCTTTCCTTCTCCATTTACACCAACCTGTGACCCTCCAGGTGTTTTGGCCTACAACTCCCATGATCCCTAGCTAACAGGGCCAGTGGTCAGGGATGATGGGAATTGTAGTCCAAAACGTCTGGAGGGCCAAAGACTGGAGATGCCTGGTTTACACCCTGTGGCTGTTTGCAAACAGGCTCACACCCCCAGCAGCTTTAGAGCAAGGTAGCTTGGGTCTAGGAGAGGAGGCGAGTTGGAGGCCTGCAACTTCTGCCTCCTGGTCCATTCAAGAAACTTCTAAAAATCAGCTACCATTCAAGAAACTTCTAAAAATCAGCTACCGTATTTTTTGCACCATAACACTCACTTTTTTCCTCCTAGAAAGTAAGGGGAAATGTCTGTGCGTGTTATGGAGGGAATGCCTACGGGTGGCATGCCTACGGATTTCCCTCCTCTAAAAACTACGTGCGTGTTATGGTCGGGTGCGTGTTATAGAGCGAAAAATACGGTAGTTGTTTATTTCCTTGACATCTGATGGGAGGGTGTTCCACATGGCGAGTGCCACTACCAAGAAGGCCCTCTGCCTGGTTCCCTGTAGCTTCACTTCTCGCAGTAAGGGAACTGCCAGAAGGCCCTCAGAACTGGACCTCAGTGTCCCGGCAGAACGATGGGGGTGGAGACGCTCCTTCAGGTATACTGGGCCAAGGCCATTTTGGACTTTAAAGGTCAGCACCAACACTTTGAATTGTGCTCGGAAATGTAATGGGAGCCAATGTAGGTCTTTCAAGACTGGTGTTATATGGTCTCTGCGGCCGCTCCCAGTCACCAGTCTAGCTGCTGCATTCTGGATTAGTTGTAGTTTCCGGGTCCCTCTCAAAGGTAGCCCCATGTAGAGCGCATTGCAGTAGGCCGAGTGGGAGATAACCAGAGCATGCACCACTCTGGCGAGACAGTCTGCGGGCAGGGAGGGTCTCAGCCTGCGTACCAGATGGTGTTTCACCAATCCCCTGCAATGTAGGAATCACAGCCCAATCATCCCCATATAATTGTAGAATCCCTTCCTCTACTAATCTGCCCTCCTCTTGTCTTCCCCCAGGGGCCTTTCGTTCACCTTTCCAGCATGATCGCTGCCTACTTAGGGAAGATTCGGACCAGTGTCTCTGGGGAATATGAGGTAAGGAGCAAGGGGACAGCAACACCTCACCCCCCACCGAGGCTAAGGGGTGGAGTGGGCCTGCCCAAGCATTCCTTCACTAGATTGCCAAATGTAGATTCATTGTCCCTCTTGATGCCTTCCTACTTTCACAACCAGGGTGGCTGAAGAGGTGATTTCTGCCCCCACAAAATAACCACCCCACTGCATTTTCATTGGGTGCTTTTGAGGCAGGGGAGACAGGGGAGAAATTTGATTCCATTTGCGTTAAAGGTGAGTCCAGAACAATACGCATGTTAGGAGCTCGTCCTACACTCGAGTAGGACCCTGGTAGAGACACATGCCCGACTGGCATGTTCTCTTCCTCCTGATATTTCGTTCGGGAGCTTCAAGAGTTTTCTTCAGCCCGAACATCACAGCGACCAGTGCCAACTGACACCAGCACACTTAGGGATCCGCAGATTCTTCACAGTTGCGTAACAGACCTCAGCAACTCAGCATTTTGGCTAATCGACTTTATTTACATATAAACACACACGGAGCACTGCAACATGGCTCCCTCTCTCTCTAGCATTATACAGCAAAGAGAAAAAGAACAAAGGGCAATAGCCCCACTTCACGGAACACAGTAACACAAACATCCTGTCACTTCCCACTCTCTGGAGTCAAAACATATACCGTCATGTGATAGACAACAATCCCATGACTGCAATCATGGAGTAGGAATTCTAACAACGCAAACTTAAATTGCAGCCATCCTCTGAAATTTGAACCTTTCCAAATTTTGCAAGGCAGAGTCAGGCATACAGAAATGGATAGAACGAGGGCAAAGTGTACATAAAGAGCATGTATTAGGGAAAAGCAACATACACAAATCTGTTATATTAAGAGAAATGGCTTTGCAAAAAAAATGTGTACATTAGGCAAAATCACACACACACAAAGATGTGCCTATCAGGAACATTTCGCACTAGAATGTTGCAGAGCTCATTTATTTTATTTTTCAAAAATCACTAACTAATGTCGAAATGAGAACTGGATTTAAGAGGTTGGGAAATGAGAAACGGAGAGGAACCGGAAGGAACGGATTGTCTCCCCCAATCTTCGCTCAGTTTAATAATCTGAGCACAGAGCTGGAAAGGGGTCAAACTGGAGTGGCTCCTGCTGGCTTGGAAGGCAAATGCAGCACTCAGCACGCATTCTGGAGCCCTGGGGGAATTCATGCTCAGCCGCGCTGACTCTCAGGCAGATGCAAGAGGCACTTAGCAAACGGATCTCTCTTCCTCCTAGAATAAGAGCAAACAGAACGAGATGCTGGTGGCCGGAGCGGCTGTTGGAGTGGCCACTGTCTTCGGGGCTCCCATCAGCGGTAAGAGAAACAAGCACACAGACCAGCAAAACACTGCCCTACCCCGCTGGTCAGATTCAGTAAAACTCGCTGGCAAGTGACTTGCAAAGTTTACAGGGCTTGGAGTTTGTGGGTGTTTGGCGAAAACGCTTTGCGTCGCTCTGTCAAGCAGCTCATGTCAAAAGCGGAAAACCGGTGGTCTTTGGGGGAAGGGGGCTGTGTTGGCCAGGGGCCTGCAAAAACCACACCTCTCCACTCTGGTTTGAAGTGGGTAAGAGCCCCCCACAGCTGTGGGCAGTGTGATAGGAATGTTGAGGTCTTAGATATATGGTAATGTTCATAAGTGTACCAACCAAGCACATACATAGATCGGCACAGGAAGACCGACCTGGAAACATTTTGATTCCTAAACTGAGCCAATGTTTTCTCTGCAAGGTCAAAGTGGGAAACCTCCCCATTGCCTCTTTCCTCACAAGTCCTGTCTTAAGGGCACATTTAAGATATGAATGGCGTGTGAGCCTGTGACCTGGCCCAGGAACTAAGTATTTATCACTACAAAAGAATGGCCAGGCTCCCCAGGCAATCCAATCAAGTAACCTGCTAGACAGGAGAAAAACAACATTAAAATTTCTGTTTTAGACCGCCTTTTCTGTGATGTAGGTATGATGTATCTGAGGGGTGGTCTTAGGTTACACCCCTTCTGTGATGTATGTATGATGTTTCTGGGGGTGGTCTTGATCGACAGGATGGCAATTTCAAAAGTATTTCTAAGGCCTTCCTCCTCTCTCCTGCGTGTGAGGGGAGCACCCTGTTGCAACAGATCAATAAAGATCAAGCTTACTAGCTGCTTTGCTTCTCAATATTCTCTGGTTGGCCTCTGTTATCTTCTACTACCAATAGTGAACCTATGTAAGGACTCTATATGGGCTCTTGGATACCCCATAAGGGAAAAGGGCAATTTTTGTTTACAACAGCAGCAAGACGAGGCGTGCAGACTCCTTTGGGTGCCTCAGATGAGGGATCCAGTCACGGCCATGGAGGAAGTCAGTGGCAGAGCACAGGAGGCGACAAACAGCAAACTGTAATAAACAAAAATCTGCCCTTATTCCCTTATGGGGAACACAAGAGCCCTTATAGAGTCCTTTGTATGTTCTCCATCGGTCGGAGGAAAAAACAGAGGCCAACCAGAGAATATTGAGAAGCAAAGCAGCTAGTAAGCCTGATCTTTATTGAACTGTTGCAACAGGGTGCTCCCCTCACACGCAGGAAAGGAGGAGGACCCTGAACAAAGGTGTGCCCGCCCTTATATAGACAGAAAGGGCGGTCTACAACAGAAATCTGAGTGCATTATTTATCTCCTGTCTGGCATATTACCTGTTAATGGTCACTTGATTGGATACCCTGGGGAGCCTGGCCAGTAATGACAAATACTTCGTTCCTGAGCCAGGTCACAGGCTCACCCTATTCATACACAGACATACTCTTAGGACAGGATTTGTGAAGGAGGAGACAATGGGGAGGCTTTTCCATTTTCCTTTGACCTTGCAGAGAAATGTTTGAGGTCAATTTGGGAGGGACAAAATGGTTTCAGGACTTTCTGTGGGGTTTCAGACATGTGGTTTATATATCGATGTACATGCTTGATTGGTGCATTTATGAACACACACACACACACACACACACACACACATATAACCTTAAATTTTTTATTTCAAAACTTTATGAGTTTCTTGTCCATGGTTTCTCCCAACTTTGAAGGCGTCAATGCATCTCCTTGCCAAGGCATATTGGCTGCCGGTTGCTGACCTCTGCCTTACCTGTTTTCTTCACCTGCCCATTCTCTTCCTCACCTGGTCCCTCTCAGGGGTCCTCTTCAGCATCGAGGTCGTGTCCTCCCATTTCGCCGTCCGGGACTACTGGAGGGGATTCTTCTCAGCCACCTGCGGGGCCTTCATGTTTCGCCTCCTGGCCGTCTTCAACAGCGAACAAGGTGAGGAAGTTGAGTAGAGTTGCTGGGGAACTCTTGCTTCCAGTTTGCTCTGCAGTGTTGGGTGTCCCCCTGGCCAGCGTGCTCATCCACAGAGCAAACACCTCTCCCCACTCGCTGCTTTTTCTGGCAAGCTAAGCACAATCTTTAGATGCTTACCTTGCATGGGCCGGAAATAGGTTTGATGGGGAGGGGGTTGCTGGGAGACAGCAGTTTAAGCCTCACATGTGGAAATAATAATAATTTATTATTTATACCTTGCCCATCTGGCTGGGTTTCCCCAGCCACTCTGGGTGGCTTCCAACAAAGATTAAAAAATATATTAAAATGTCACACATTAAAATCTTCCCTGAACAGGGCTGCCTTCAGATGTCTTCTAAATGTCAGGTAGTTGTTTATCTCTTTGACATCTGGTGGGAGGGTGTTCCACAGGGCGGGTGCCACTAACGAGAAGGCCCTCTGCCTGGTTCCTTGTAGCTTTGCTTCTTGCAATGAGGGAACTGCCAGAAGGCCCTTGGCACCGGACCTCAGCGTCCGGGCAGAACGATGGGGGTGGAGACGCTCCTTCAGGTATACTAATATTCTAAACTGACTGCAACTGCCCTGGAAAGAGATGACTGAGCAATTGTGGCGACCTTGTTGGAAGTGCCGAACCCTCAGGTTTGCTGCAAAATGGATGTTTTGTGTTAGGGAAGGGAAACTAGGGCTGCCATACGCTTGAAAATGGCGTCTGGGCAGATTTTAACAGCTAGTCCTCCTTAGGCTAAGTGTTGCCCTTAAAGAAGAACTAGCAGGGAGGCGAAAAAGAAGGATGGAAGGTGCAAGGCTAGGAGCAGTTTCCCTGTCGTTGACTCTGGCGCCACCTACTGTTGGGCTCCCTACCTCCCGCCCTACCAGCCACCACCAATGCTGCGTGAAGATGTTTCTAGGTTTCCCAAACTTGTCTCTCTGGCTGATTTTGGACTACAACTCCCAGCATCCCTAGCTAGCAGGACCAGTGGTCAGGGATGATGGGAATGGTAGTCCAAAAACAACTGGAGACCCAAGTTTGGGAAACCCTGGACCTGGATGTTGGTGATGGAGGAAGGCTCTCTGGGGACAAACCTCAGCAGCCACGGTGAGCAGGTGATGGGCGCTAAACAACGTGGCTTGCTGGTTCCCCTGACTGGCTGCGCAGGAGCAAAGCAGGGTTTGGCCCCAAGCAAATGGCCTTCTGCAAATGTTGGCCTTCAGTGGGTGGGGTGGGCTTAAGTGAGACGGACGGGGAAAGAAGAGGGGAAAGTGAGAAATTGGGGAAGGGGGTCTTGGGTGGAAGGAAAGTGGGGGGGGCGCAGGTAGATGAGGAAGGGGGCTTCTATTTTTGTGGGCACCCCTGTTTTGTGTTTAAAACACACTGCTTTTTCTCCCTCCCCAGAGACCATCATGGCTCTTTTCAAGACCAGCTTTAAGATTGACTTCCCCTTTGACCTGCCAGAGACATTCTTCTTCATGTTCCTCGGGTGAGCAGGGTGAGGGATTTTGGGGTCAGGTCCACCCCATATACAGTGGTACCTCGGGTTACATACGCTTCAGGTTACATACGTTTCAGGTTACAGACTCCGCTAACCCAGAAATAGTAAAAGGTAAAGGTAAAGGTACCCCTGCCCGTACGGGCCAGTCTTGCCAGACTCTAGGGTTGTGCGCTCATCTCACTTAAGAGGCCGGGAGCCAGTGCTGTCCGCAGACACTTCCGGGTCACGTGGCCAGCGTGACGAAGCTACTCTGGCGAGCCAGAGCCGCACACGGAAACGCCGTTTACCTTCCCGCTAGTAAGCGGTCCCTATTTATCTACTTGCACCCAGGGGTGCTTTCGAACTGCTAGGTTGGCAGGCGCTGGGACCGAGCAACGGGAGCGCACCCCGCTGTGGGGATTCGAACCGCCGACCATGCGATCGGCAAGTCCTAGGCGCTGAGGTTTAACCCACAGGTTAAAAACTGTGCTTCAGGATGAGAACCGAAATCGTGCTCCGGCGGCAGCGGGAGGCCCCATTAGCTAAAGTGGTGCTTCAGGTTAAGAACAGTTTCAGGTTAAGAACGGACCTCCGGAACGAATTAAGTACTTAACCTGAGGTACCACCATCCCCTCAATAATTCTGGGAAGTGGAGTGTGCTGTAATAGGGAAAACTAGGGGGTTTGGCTTTTGCTGCCCAACTCCTGAAGGGACTGAGTCCCCTAACTCAATGGTCAGTCAGAGATGAATGGATGGAGGCAAGATCCATAGAAAGCAAGGGGAATCTTTATTTTTCTGTTGCAAGATTCCTCCCCCAAGGAGGTAGGAGAGACCCAGAATAATGGTGCGCAAGCCCCTATAAATACTTTTGAAATTGCCCACCCTGTACCCCAAAACACCCCCCCAAAATCATACGTATATCACAGAAGTGGTCTCCAGCATATATTTGAGAGTGTTGCTTCTCTCCTGTCTGCCAGGATACCTGATAAATGCCTTAAAGGTAAAGGCAAAGGGACCCCTGACCATTAGGTCCAGTCGTGACCGACTCTGGGGTTGCGGCGCTCATCTCGCTTTCAGCTTCCGGGTCATGTGGCCAGCATGACTAAGCCGCTTCTGGCGAACCAGAGCAGCGCACAGAAACACCATTTACCTTCCTGCTGGAGCGGTACCTATTTATCTACTTGCACTTTGACATGCTTTCGAACTGCTAGGTTGGCAGGAGCAGGGACCGAGCAACAGGAGTTCACCCCGTCGCGGGGATTCGAACTGCCGACCTTCTGATCAGCAAGTCCTAGGCTCTGTGGTTTAACCCACAGTGCCACCTGCGTCCTGATAAATGCCTTACTTGATTGCATTTTCTGGGTAGCCTGGCCATTCCTTTGAGATGGTAAATACCGGTACTTTAGTTCCTGAATCTCTTGCACTTATTGATAGTTTGCTCAGCTTAACAGATACTTGCCAGACTGTATTCGAAAAGGGAGGTGTAAGCCCCTACAGTCCAAAGACAATTGGAAAGCTTTCCCCATTTCCTTCCCCCTATATGAGGTCAATTTGAGAGAGTCAAAATGACTTCAGGATTGCTCTCCTGTACTATTACAGACATGTGGTTTATATACTTGTGCATGTGTTTGCCTTGTAGATTTATGAACATTCATTCTATATTTGAGACCTTAGAACTCTTATAACAGTGTCAAGGTTTCTGGGGGAAAACTACGGTTTCCAGGGTCCTTCATGTGCTTGAAATGTGCTCTGAATGTATGGGGGCGGATGTGACCCATCTCCTTCCTTGCAATGCAGCCTTGGGGGGGGGGGGTTGATACCGAAGGGGTATTGTGTGCCCAGCAGCCAAAGTGACCCTAACCTCCCTCCCTCCCCTGTTTCTTTGCAGCGCAGTCTGTGGAGTGGTGAGCTGCGCTTACCTCTTCTGCCAGCGCTGGTTCCTGGGCTACGTCCGGAGGAACTGCTTCACGGCCAAGCTGCTTGCAGAGGAGTAAGTCATACCTTGGGAGTGGGGGGTCTTATGTACTGAAGTTCTCACCCTGGGCCAGCAGGGGGATACTGTAGATAGTTTTCACTCAGGTCCACATATGCAAATAAGGAATTGAAAGTGACGTTCAGTGATTGGATAGTTACAGAAAGTGGTTACTGTTGCTTTGTAGTTGAACTCTATATAAGGAGGTTGGCTGAACCCTTCAGTTCAGTTCTGGCCTGTGAATAAACAAGAGCTGTTTGAAGAATCACTGTGTTGTCTTATATGTTCACTCACAACTTGGGGGGCATGCGCTGGGGGCATGTGGGGCTCCTGCAAGGACCGAGTGACTGGCCTCAAACACACTGCTGCCTCTCGGTCTCAGTTTCCCACTCTGCAAAACGGGAACAACAGAAGTTTGCCTCGCCCGGTTGTTGCATGGGCGATAAATGTTCCATGAAAGCTCAAATGAATTGTAGCAGCTGCCATTCTCCTTTCACATATTTGGGGTCCTCTTGGGTTTTCCATGACATAGGGATTACAAAAAAAATTCTGGCTCTGGGAACAGAATGAGTAGGGTATAGAAAAAAGCATATTGTGCGCAAGGTATTTAAAAGTGAGTGACAGTAGAGGGGTCAGTAAACTTTTTCAGCAGAGGGCTGGTCCACTGTCCCTCAGACCTTGTGGGGGGGCCGGACTATATTTTTTTTGGGGGGGGAATATGAATGAATTCCTATGCCCCCAAAATAACCCAGAGATGCATTTTAAATAAAAGCACACATTCTACTCGTGTAAAAACACGCTGACCATCCGCAGGCCAGACTGAGAAGGAGAGTGGTCCGGATCTGGCCCCCAGGCCTTAGTTTGCCTACCCATGGTAGAGATGGACCAACATTTTATTATTACTTCCTCCATCACCCTGAGAAAAAAATATTCTCCCTTGTATGCAAGCTTTCAAGCGGCACAGAAATCCTCAGCACCTTCTGCCTGGTGGAAGAGCTTTGTGATACCTGGAAAATGTACAGATTCCTCCACCAAATGAGCTTTTCTATTTTTGCTTTGAGCTGTGTGTGACTTGCTGGTCTGCCATCAGAGTTAGCTTTGTGCATGGAAGCCCTGCCTTTTGTTTTCAATCCTGAAAAATAACCCTAGTTGTTTGTTTGTTTGTTTGTTTGTTTGTTTGTTTGTTTGTTGTTTGTTTCTGGTACCTTTTTCCAGGAAACCTCTTTACTCGGTGCTGGTTGCCCTCCTGCTCTCCTCCATCACCTTCCCATCGGGCCTGGGGCAGTTCATGGCCTCCAGGGTAAATACTGGGTATCGCTCTCCTTCCCAGCACAGAGCACACTGGAGCATATGCAGAGTGCCACCCTCTCCCTGCTGAATAACCACAGGTGGCACCCACAGGCCTGACAGCAGCCAGTGAACTGGCCAAAGGCCAACCTGTCTGGTGGCACAGAAAGAGGCACCCCCTGGCCCCCTCACAGACAAGAAGGGGGAGGGTGGGTGGGTGTTTGCGCTCCTGTTTGCGCCAGCCCTTCCAGACCCCCATCTTTCCTCCCCTGTAGCTGAGCATGAAGGAACTCCTCACCTCCCTCCTTGACAACCACACCTGGAGCGCCCTTTCCCAAAACGCATCGCTGGCCAGGCCCCTTCAAGTCGACACCCACAACCTGTGGCTCGAGTGGTGGGATCCCAACATCACCATCTTTGGCACGCTGACCATCTTCCTGTTCATGAAGGTACCTGGCCCGCTTCTGAAGCACACGGAGGGGGGGCCCTCTGATGAGGGACGAAGGGTTCAGGCGACTCCCCACCCACTTCTGTTACGGTGCTTTCACCCTCAGGAGTTGGAGTGTTCTCAGGCATGCCGTGGCATCACAGGCTGTCTGAAAGCAAGCGGCCATTACCCTCGGCCTCACTTTTCCTCGCTCTTTTCACAGTTCTGGATGCTGATCCTGGCCACCACCATGCCGATGCCCGCTGGGTACTTCATGCCCGTCTTTGTTTATGGTAAGTGCCCCCCCATCTCCCCTCTCCCTGCATCAGATGACCCGACCCCATACTGGGTCACAGAATCAAAGAACTGGAGAGTTGGAAAGGTGACCTTGTCCAGCCCCATGCACTGCAGGAACCACAGTTAAACGCAGGATCAGTTTCACTGGTCTCAGCTGTCAAGCACCAAACAGAGAAGGGGATCTCCATGACAGTTAATCCAGTTCAAAACCAGTTTGAGCGTGCAGTGTAGACGTGGTCTGGAAAGGATTGTCGCGGAGATGCAACCTGTCTCTTTCTACCTCTTCCTCCTCCTCCTTCCCCACTCCCCACCGCAGGAGCTGCGCTCGGGCGCCTGGTGGGGGAAACCGCCGCCTTCCTCTTCCCCCAGGGCATTTCATCGGAGGGGGGCTCCAGCCTCATCACTCCTGGAAGCTACGCACTGGCAGGTGAGTCTGCAACATGGCTCAAGGTGCCGGGTGGGGTGGGCACTTGCTACAGGGCAAGCCAATAAGCCAGGGCAGCAACTACGGCTTGGCAGACATTTGCCAACTTTGCCACACGGCCCCTTCCCCTCCACCCCAGGGACTCACGGTTGCGATGACAGTGAGCGCCTCCGTTCACTACAATTTTGTGGGGGGCGTCTGTCTGGAGGATGCCCTAGGTCCCTCTCTCAATTCTTGGGGTCCTGTACCCAGCGAGGGTTAGGCTGGCCACTGAAATGTCCTCATCAGCATCCTGCAAAAACGGGCCAGGTGGCAAGAGGGGTGGGGCCCTCTGGGCTCCAAGGTGGGCCTTTCCTCTGCCGCCCCCTTCACCTTGCTGCTAGGTAGAAGAACAAGAGCCAGAGAGGTGTGAGAGAGCTGGGCTGGAAGCCGGAGACTGAGGGGCTTGCTTGCTCCGTGCTGGATCAAAAATGGCAACAAATGGAGAAGCAAGATTTCTTGGGGTGCTGATGCCGTGACCCTCCCTCCATAGGTCGTACATGTATGTGAATAGAACCGTATACAGTGGTACCGCAGGATGCGAACGGGATCCGTTCAGGAGCCCTGTTCGCATCCCGAAGCGAACGCAAGCCGTGACTGTGCGTCTGCGGGTTGCCATTCGCCACTTCTGCGCATGTGCATGACGTCGTTTTGACCGTAGCGCATGCGCGAGCAGCGAAACCTGGAAGTAAAGCGTTCCGTTACTTCCGGGTTGCCACAGAGCGCAACCTGAAAGCGCTCAACCTGAAGCAACTTCAACCCGAGGTATGACTGTATCTTGAAGACGCCACAGTCTCGGCTGACCTTTACTCGGAGGAAACCGAACCTGGAACCCCTGGAGTCCCTTGCAGCTCAGACACACTGGGGGGGGGCGTGTTGCAGGGGGAGGCCACAACCGTTAATCCTGGTGCGACACCAGCACAGAGGAGGGCCAGCTCTGTTATTAGGCGGGGCTGGAGGACAGAGCTGTCTTCGATTCATGACTTGTCCTCCCCACCGCTGAGCTCCTCTGCTCTGGTGCAGAATGCTATCCTCTTCAAGCAAGATGCAGACCCCAGCCAGCTCAGCTCTGGGACTTGGAATAGGAATTGGGGGGGCTAAGAAGGGATCCACGCCCAGGGTGAGTTGCCGGCCTGTCTCAGGACCATAGCTGTCAACCGTCCCTTATTTGGCGGGAAACTCCCTTATCCCAGCGCCGTGTCCTGCTGCTGTCCCTTATTGATGATGTCCCTTAAATTTCCTGGGTTTCAAAGGAAGCAGCTCCTCTCCCTCCCTCCCTGCTGGCCAGGGAGGAGGGAGGCTCCAACTGTGTTGCTTGGCTGCCCGCCCCCCCCCCTCCGGCCTCCTCTCACCAGCCTCAGCCCCTGGGAGCCCCTCCCCACCGGGACTGGAGGGAGCCTTGGGCCCTTCCACCGCCATCCTCCTCACGGCCGCCGAACTGAGCGTCTCTGCCTGGGGTAGCATCTTCTTAGCTTGGACTTTGTTTTGCGCATAAAGTGGTTGCTGCTTGTAGTTATTTAATTGCAGTGTTTCATCAGCTTGAGCAGCAACCTCTGGAAACGAAGGGCTAAAAACCGGTGCTGCTCTTCAAAATTATCTGGTCCCTTTTAACTTCGTATTTCAGGTGGTTGACTAAAATCCCTTATTTGGGCTGCTGGCCCCTTATTTTTGAGGCTGCCGGTCCCTTATTTTCAAATCTGTAAGTTGACAGCTATGCTCAGGACCCCCCCTCCAGGGACAACCCTTGCTCTAGATTCTGTTTTCCTCCCTCCAGGAGCTGCAGCCTTCTCCGGCTCCGTCACCCACACCCTCTCCACGGCCCTGCTGGCCTTCGAGATGACGGGGCAGATCGCCCACATCCTGCCCGTCATCCTCGCCGTGCTCATTGCCAACGCCATTGCCCAGAAGTTCCAGCCCTCCTTCTACGACGGCACCATCATCGTCAAGAAGCTGCCCTACCTGCCACGTATCAGGAGCAGGCACATTGGGTGAGGTGAAACCCCCTCCCACGTCACAGGGTGTGAGGGAGCAGGTGGGGACACAGCTTCGCGCCCTCCCACTCCCGGGACATTGAGGGGCATCCCGAGAGCCTTCTCAGACATGCTGCTTGCTGATGAGGGAAAGGACACTCTGCCCATGCTCAGAGTCTCTCTTGCCTTTTGCCGCTTTGCATATCGGGAAGGGGCTAGCTCAGGGGCAAAGAGTCCGCTTTGCGAGCGGAAAATGCCAGGTTGTGGCAGAGCGAGTTGGCCGGTAAATCACAAAGTTCAATAGTTGGGAGTGAACTCTTAATGGTTTTGGCTGAGGGTCAGGCCTGATGCGCACAGCAGCTCGTTCCCTGTAGGTCAGGGAACTTTTTCAGCAGGGGGCCAGTCTACTGTCCTTCAGACCTTGGGGGGGGGGGCGGACTATATTTTGAAGACGAAAAATGAACAAATTCCTATGTCCTACAAATAACCCAGAGATGCATTTCAAATAAAAGCACACATTCTACTCATGTAAAAACACCAGGCAGGCCCCACAAATAACCCAGAGATGCATTTTAAATAAAAGGACACATTCTACTCATGTAAAAACAGGCTGATTCCCGGACTGTCCATGGGCTGGACTGAGAAGGTGATTGGGCCGGATCTGGGCCCCAGGCCTTAGTTTGCCTACCCATGCTGTAGGTCTTACTCCACGAAATCAGTTGCCGAGACTAAAAGTCCCCACCTCCCCTCAACAATCTAGTTCTGCTCCTCTCCCAGGGCTCCTTCCAAGCAATCGGAGACTGCGCCTGGGTGAGACCAAGATCTCCTCTGCCCTTTTCATGCCTCTTCTGGTTCTGGGAGACTAGGGGAGAGTTGAGAGCTTGCCACAGCCGGAGAGGGAGACACCGGTGACTCTTCCCCAGCCAGACTCATCTCTGCCTCTTGGCCTCCCTCGTCCCACGCTTCTGCTTCAGTTGCTGCCTCTGATTCTGGATTTCTCTCTGCCACAGACTCTCCCAGCTCACTAAGCCCTGTCTTTTCCCTGTGACCACTCATCATCGCCCCACCACCAATCTCCAGGCTCTGAGCCTTTGACCCTTGGGGGTTCCTCAGCTAGTTCCTCCCACTGTTCTTCTGCACCAACCAGTCCATGACACGGGTTCAATCCCTGCTGGTATCGCCAGGTAGCGTTTATTATACAGTTCAATTTCAAATGCAGGGAGGGATTTCACAAGGTTAAAAAGCATAAAAATGTTTTCCATCAACATGTACTTTTATTTCCAGGGGCAAACTCCCTGATCCTCTCAAAATAATAAGCACAGCTTTTTAAAAGAAGGCAATAGTTTGAATTTATGGGATTCAGCCAGGCAATTCCTGGGACCCTCCCCTGCCCAAAGGTCTGGGAGAAGGAGGACGCCTGTACCAGATTCTCACTTGAGCACCATTTGAAAGCGGAATAGAAAAGCTAGACAGGAAACAACTGCTTCAGTCACAAAGAGAAAGTTGAGCTCCCTCTTCATCCCCCATAGAAGACCAATTAAAATACTCTACTAGTGTGCCTTCTTCTCTCTTCGTATCTTTTTAAATATATTATAAAAAGTAGATGAAATTATGTACAGTCCAAACCTCTTACCATAAAAATATAACAAAGCCCTGCTCTTAGGAGTAGATGGTTGTTCCGTCCATGTCTACTTCAGAAAAATGATTGCAAGGATTGGCCTCCACTGAGCAGAACTGGACTTCACGAGAAATAAATGGCATAATCTACTTTTCTTTTGAGAGTCAGCACAGCTACAAGCCCTGTTTAAGGGGGGGGGGAGCAGCAGAGACCTTGTAGTTTGCTTGATAAAGAACTTTTTGTGGGGGAAGCAGTCCTTATTCTGACAAACTCCTTACAGTTTGATTGCCGTGGATCTTCAGGGGGCATGAAGTGATAACGGTAGAATCTCTGACTTTGAAAATGTATTTATTAGCAAGACCACTGATAAATACAGGTAGGGTTAGAATCTGCCTGAAACCCTGCAGAGCCATTGCTGCCAACCAGTGTGGACACTACAAAGCTAGATGGGCTGACTCCATAGAAGGCAGCTTCCTAGGTCCCTATATTCCAGGGCAGGGCACACATTCACTGGTGGGCTGTGTGCATGCTGTCAATTCACAGGCCTTTTAACAGCCCGCAGACCCTCTGGGAATCTTTGCTCTGCCATTACTGGGCTCTCTCTGGGGTCATTCTGACGCCACTTTCTCCCGCCTGCAGCTCCTACAAGGTCACCACAGAGGAGTTCATGAACACCAAATTCGTCTACCTGCCCAGGGATGCCACTTTCCAGGAAATCCTCAGCACAGTCACCTCGACAGACGACTCCGAGTACCCAGTGGTGGACAATGCTGGTACAGTCATATCTCATGTTACGTCCACTTCATGTTACGTTCTTTCAGGATACACCCCGCGGTGACCCGGAAGTACCGGAAAGGGTTACTTGCACATGCATAGATGCGCAAAATGACGTCACGCGCATGTGCAGAAGTGGCGGATCGCAACCCGCGCGTGCACAGACGCGCCACTGTGGGTTGCGCTCTTTTCTTGCTGCGAATGGGCCTCCGGAACGGATCCCGTTTGCAACCAGAGGTCCCACTGTACTGGGACTTCATGAGTTTTCTGAGGGGGAAGGAAGCCCTGCAGTGCTGGGTTCCTGGTTCTTCCCTCCCGCAATTTCCCAAACCCCCATGGCCTTCCCTGTGGCATCAGGCCTGAGGCTTTATTTCACTTCCCGCTTTGTGGGGGTGTTGAGGCCCCTGTCCAGCCAAGGCGGCCCACCTGAGGCTCTGACCATCCGGCCGGCGTCACTCTCGCTCACTTTTGGGGGGAAACCATAGCATGCAAACAAGCCAGAAGGGGAGAAACAGCAGGAATTGAGAAGCAGCGGGGACTTGCTCTTTGCCCATGCTCAGGAGGCGTCAGGGTACTTACCCAGACACCTCCGCCACAGTCCACGAAGAGATCTAGAGCAGGAGCTGCCCCCTTGTTCCAGCATAGGCCTCGGTGGAGGGGACCTAGTTCTCTTCTACCTCTTGTGTTGCAGGGGTTGGACTAGATGACCCTTGGGGGCCCTTACATCCCTACAATTCTAGGATGCCACTATTGGAGGCAGGATGCTGCTGGAGCACCAGTTGTTGTGGGGATCCCTCGTGGGGTCCTGCGGGTGGGCCTCCAATCAGGCACAGCTGGGTGACCGCTGGGCAGCGGGGGGAGGGAGCTAGACTAAGGCAGGCCTAATCCAGCCCATCTCATCTTCTTCCCGGGGTGCTGGGCTCGACAAGACCCTCTTTGGCCTGATCCTGCAGTCGAGCCCTTTTAAGGCCTTTTCTTTCCACCTCCTCTCGCCCGCAGAGACAGCCATGTTGCTGGGGATGATCCAGAGATCTGAGCTGATCAAGTTCCTCCAGACCCAGGATGATGCCAGCTTGCCCCACAAGGCACAGGGGGAAGAGGTGGGTCACAAGCCCCCAGAGGCTGAGATGGGAGCCGCCTTCTGCTGTGTGTGGAGGGAGGGGGGGCAGCACCCTCTCTGCAATGCAGCTTAGCCAGAGTGGCATGTGCCCCACACCGCCCAATTGCCACACCCTGCAAGATTTTATTCCTCCCCAATCTCTCCTGCAGCCTCCATCTGCCCAGACCTTGGAAGGATCCTGCGCCATCAGCCCTGTGACCCTACAGCTTTCCCCATGGATGTCCCTACACCAGGTAAATGGCTGACAGACAGGCGAGAGTTATCAGATGAAGCATGCCAGGAAGTGGTCTTGGCTCTGCCACACCCCTTTATTTGTTTACAGTGAAATGGAGCCTCCATGACCAGGAGGAGTCTACCTCCATATGTCACCTGCTTTAGAATAATGGCAGGGAGGGCTGTTGTTGCTGCCTTCGCGTTCTGCACCATGGGGGCACATTTCCCACCCTGGGAAACAGGGCGAAAGGCCTGCCTAGGTCTTTGGGGGGAGGCCAGGGCAGAGGGTGTGTGTGTGGAAGTAGGGGATTTTAAATTTTTATTACAGAGAGAAAGATCCTTTGGGGATGGGAAAGGCGAAGCATTTTCTGCCTGCCTCCCAACACTTAGTTTTCCTGCCACAGCCTTTGTGGGGCTGCTTCTTGTAAAAGGAAAAAACACACAGCTGTGTATTCTTGGCTGTTGGGCCCTTCCTCCAGCCTACCTCACAGGGTTCCTGAGAGGGTGGAACAGGATCCTACCTCTGTGCGCACACCCCGTTCTGTGAAAATGAAGGAAAAGGGGCATTCTCTGTGTGTGGTGCATGCGCTTCTCACAAGATGCTGTTGTCACCAGGGAAATGGGTTGGCTTTTCGAGATGCAATGAGCCTCGTTAAAGGAGCTATAGGCAGGGGCTACCCCACATCCTGGGACGCGGGTGGCGCTGTGGGTTAAACCACTGAGCCTCTTGGGCTTGCCGATCAGAAAGTCGGCGGTTCAAATCCCCGCAATGGGGTGAGCTCCCGTTGCTCGGTCCCTGCTCCTGCCAACCTAGCACGTCAAAGTGCAAGTAGATAAATAGGTACCGCTCCGGCGGGAAGGTAAACGGCGTTTCCATGCGCTGCTCTGGTTCGCCAGAAGCAGCTTAGTCATGCTGGCCACATGACCTGGAAGCTGTACACTGGCTCCCTTGGCCAATAAAGCGAGATGAGCGCCGCAACCCCAGAGTCGGCCGCGACTGGACCTAATGGTCAGGGGTCCCTTTCCTCTTTACCTTTACCCCACATCACCATCCTGACCTTCCCCCCATCTCTCTCCTCCCCATTTCTCTCCCCACAGGTGCACAACCTTTTTGAGCTTCTGAACCTTCAGAGAGCCTTTGTCACGCAACTGGGGAAGGTGGTTGGCGTTGTCTCCAGGAACGAGGTAGCTGGCTGGCGCTCTAAAGCAGGGCAGATTGGGAGAGGATGGGGCTGGATCCTAAACTCAGAGAGCTGCAGAAGGGGGAGAACTGCATTCGAATCCCCTCCTGCCCTCAGCCGCAAAATACACCGGGTGACTCTGGGCCAGTCATGCTCTCAGCCTGACCTACCTCGTAGGGTTGTTGGTGGGAGAACAGCTTACCTCACACTCAAGAGTGCTTCTGAGAAAGGCAGGAGGAATAAGTGTTTCTTGAGGAAGGAGTTCCCAGTTCCTCATCAGGGGTTGCAGGAAACTAGGACAGTTAAACTGCTTCCAAGCTGCTGCAGTGTGAAAACATCCACCCCACTTCCCATCCAGCTCTCAGCCCCCCTTCCTTCTTTTTCCTTCAGGTGAGGAAAGCCATCGAAGACCTGGCAAATCCCAAAGCAGCAAAATGAGGAGAGACCACAGAGGACCAGACGGGATTCGAAACCGCGATGGAAGGAGATTGAATGTTACCTGGTGTCAAGAGCAAATTAAAGATGTATTTTCACACCTTTGGTGGCAAATGGGGATGGACGGGGAGGTCCAGGATGGAAGCATAAGCTCTTGGCACGTCTTGAAACCTTTAACAACTGAAACCTTTAAACAACTGAAAAATATAAAACCCTATTATTATTATTATTATTACAATATGATGGAAGGTCTGTGCTAATATTTGGGCTGAGTTGAAAGGGACCCCCAAATTCACCACCTGAATTTCTGGGGTGTGTGGGGGTGTTTCAGTGGTTTTCAGGGTGGTACAGAATAATGTGAATTTTTTTTGGGGGGGGTGTCTTAAAAAACCCCACCTCCTGCTCCTAGGAGCGCCACCACTGGGCAAGGGAAAGAGGGAGCTGTATGGTGACATTTCCTTTGCAATCAAAGCCTGTCCAGAGCCGATTTCCTGCAAGAACAGCTTAAAGTGCAAAAGAATCACATATAAATTGGTCCCTGCTTCCTTCATAGAATTGAGAGTTGGAAGGGACCCCTGAGGGTCATCTAGCCCAACCCCCCAATGATGCAGAAATCTCAGCTAAAGCATCCATGACAGATGGCCATCCAACCTCTGCTTAAAAACCTCCAAGGAAGGAGAGTCTACAACCTCCCAAGGGAGCCTATTCCACTGTCCAAACTGTCCATCAGAAAATTCTTCTTGGTGTTTCGTTGGAATCTCCTTTTTTGAAGCCATTGGTAGGAGTCCTACCTTCCAGAGAAGGAAAAGACAAGCCTGTTCCATCTTCCATGGGACAGCCCTTCAGATATTTGAAGATGGCTCTCGTATCTCCTTTCAGTCTCCTCTTTTCCAGGCCAAACATACCCAGCTCCTTCAACTGTTCCTCATACGGCTGGCCCTTTGTCATCTCGGTCCCCTTCCTCTGCCCATGTTCCAGCTTGTCCCTTGTTGCAACAGGGCTCTGAGCTTCTTTCCAGAAGTTAGCACACTCTGGCTACATGGAGGCAATTTCTGTGCAATATCTCTTTTATTATTTACAAATATACACACTGAGCTGGAGGGTGGAGGTGGGGCAGGGTGGAGGAGCAACGAGGTCCCTCAAAGCAGGTATCTCCCCCCAGCCGGCCAAGCAGACTCCCCTGGAGGAAAGAGCGAGGGGTTTGCCCCGATCTCATTCTGCAAACCAAGCAAGCAGACGGAAGGTGGCCATTTGGCGGCTCTCGCAGACGTGGGAAGATGGGAGTGGGGCACTCAGCCCAAAACACCTTTGCCTACGTGCCGCCATCTTCAGAGGCCTCCTTGGCTGCCCCTACCAAACCCAGGCACCCTGGGGCTAGTAAACAGAGCGGCCCTGGAGGTTCAGTTTAAATAAAAGGGCTGTAGCAGTGAGATTGGGACGCGGGTGGCGCTGTGGGTTAAAGTTAAACCACAGAGCCTAGGACTTGCTAAATAGAAAGTCGGCGGATCAAATCCCCGCGACGGGGTGAGCTCCAGTTGCTCAGTCCCTGCTCCTGCCAACCTAGCAGTTGGAAAGCACATCAAAGTGCAAGTAGATAAATAGGTACCGCTCCGGCGGGAGGGTAAACGGCATTTCCGGGCGCTGCTCTGGTTTGCCAGAAGCAGCTTAGTCATGCTGGCCACATGACCCGGAAGCTGTATGCCAGCTCCCTCGGCCAATAAAGCGAGATGAGCACCGCAACCCCAGAGTCGGCCACGACTGGACCTAATGGTCAGGGGTCCCTTTACCTTTTACCTAGCAGTGAGATTATACCCACCAAAAAAGCAACAACTGCTTTGGGGGGGGAGGTGTTGGGGGGGGTGCACCCATAGGAGGAGCGTATGATTGAAGTGATTCAACTGTCGTGACCTCCTCCAGGGCTTGCTTGAGCAAGCAGACGTCATCCAAGGGTGCCACAATTTGAAGAACCTCCTCGAGTGCTCAGGAACGCCCGCCAGATGCGACGGTGGAACCCTTGACCCAAGCCCCCCAGCCCAGCCTCTGCCCTTCCTCCAGAGTCCTCTAGTTATAGAACACCTCGTCCTCCGAGAGGGAGCTGCTGTCAACATATCGGAGGGAGGTGCTGCTGCGCTGGAGCCACAATGACCCCACGGGGCTCTCCTGCCCCGCTTCCTGGGGCAAGCCCTTCGCCAGGCTGTCCATCGGGGTGCTCCAGCCGGTGGTGAGGGGGGACTTGCAGCTGGAGAGGGAGAAGGCCGGGAGGCTGCTGTCCAAGTTGGAGGGGCTCCCTGTGCCCTGCGGGGTGAGGAGAAAGGTCCCCGGCGACAGATAGAGGCCTCTCAGGTCTGGAAGGAGGAGAAATTATTATTATTAATTACCGTATTTTTTGCACCATAACACTCACTTTTTTCCTCCTAGAAAGTAAGGGGAAATGTCTGTGCGTGTTATGGAGGGAATGCCTACGGGTGGCATGCCTACGGATTTTCCTCCTCTGAAAACTACGTGCGTGTTATGGTCGGGTGCGTGTTATAGAGCGAAAAACACGGTAAATTTGGGGAAGGGGCTGCGGCTCAGGGGTAGAGAGCTGCTACTTTGCCCCTGGTTCAATCCCTGTCAGCAGCATTTCTAGGTAGGGTTTGAACCCATTGCTGCCAGTCAGAGTAGACAACACTGATCTAGATGGACCAGTGGCCTGACTCAATATAAGGCAGATTCCTGCGTATCAGGGATGGGGAATCTGTGCCCCCCCCAACAGATGATGTTGTGAGTGCAACCCTCCTCAGCTACCAGGGCCAATGGTGAGGGATGGTGGGAGGGGAAGATCAAGAGCATGGGGGGGGGGGAGCAAGGATCACCTGGACCAATAGCACTGCCTCAAAGGATAACTGGGCGCAACTGATTCACAAAAGACGTCAAGGATGGAGAGACCCAATGCTCATTGAAGCTGACAGACGTAACTAACTTAGCATCATTAATTTCATTGGGTCTACTATGACCCCCCCCACACACACAGCAACATAAAAAAATGGGGAGAACCTGAGGTGGGTTGGAAGTTACCTTGGAGCTGGGGGCCTTCCTGTGAATCCCCCCCATAATTCAGCTCCTCTTCATCCAGGGAGGACCAGGCACTCAGCGTGGCTTCGGCAATGGCAAACTGCTCAGCCACACCTGGGCGGGGGAAGGCAGAGGGCAGAAGATGTGAGGGAAGCAGCCGGCCCATGCCAGCCCTGCCTGGACCCTTGCAGGTCTCGGAGAATGAAGCTGCAAGCCAGGCTTAGCCTAAATAAACCATCGCACCTTCCCCACCCCCCAAAAGGGAGCCCCTCCTGATCTAGAACGTTCAGGCTTTCTTGGGAACAAAGCTGAGGGCTGGTTTGCAGCTGGGACTGACACAGCGTATGACCCCCTATGCCACCCAGTTCCTTCCTGGATTATAAGGAGGAAGACTCGGCCAAAATTTACTGCAGTTTCCTCTTCCGGGATGCTTGGAAAAGGTGACATTTGTGCCATGCATTTAAGGAGCTCTTCACACCACTTTTAACAGCCATGGCTTTCCCCCAAAGAATCCTGGGAGCCGAGAGGAGATCCCGCACAGACAGCTACAGTTCCCAGCACCCCTTGACATGCTACAGTTCCTCCCGTGAGCGCCATGGCACTCTGAAGTGTATGCAAGCCGCCTTCACGAGCAGTTTCAGAGGAGAGGTGCAGGACCTCCCAGCGCCCCAAGGACATCAGCACCCAGCAGTGGCGTAGCGTGGGGGGTGCAGGGGGGGCCGGCCGCAACGGGTGCAACATCTGGGGTTAGGGCAAATCCACAGGTTAGGGGGCACAAATCCACGGGTTAGGGGGCGCAAATTACTTGCCTTGCCCCGGGTGCTGACAACCCACGCTACGCCACTGGCACCCGACAGCATCAGTTGAACATGGTTCTTAAGCTGGCGCCTCCTTTATGGGATTGCAAGGCCCCAGCCCCACTGCTGACCTGCTGCAAACCAGGCCTCCTTCAGCTCATCGGTGAGGTCGGCGTAGATTTCCTCCTCCGTCAGGGCCTGCTCCCAGCCCGTCCTCGGAGCGCTCCAGCCCTTCCACTCGATGAGGTGGGCCACGCGGCCACGGGCCATGGCTGTGGGCTTGGTGACGTGGTCTTTGATGCTCTGAACGAGGCCTGGGGGGGGCAGCAAAGATGGAGGAGGCACAATAAGCACACTTGGGAACAGAGGGACGGAATCTATGCCAGCCCCACTGAGAGCCTTGCAGGAAGGTTTCCATGGGAACAAATGCCCCGTACAATAATACTGTTTTGTAGATTGGAAGGTTAAATTGGAAGCTGAGCTCACTGCCGGTAATTCCGATTTTGCTTTCCTCATATTACTAATGCCTGGTTTATATGATGAATGCATGTTCTATACATTTATTTATTTTGCGCACCGTACATCTCGGGGTGGTTCACAGCATAAAAACGCAAGATAAAAACACATCATAAAAACCACCATATATTTGTAGGTTGCTACCTTGCAAGGAATCGCCTTTGGCTAGTGCAATAAACGTATTGAGTGAAAACGACTGCGTTCTGCGTCTCCTTCGGCCCGACACATCTTTGCTTGCAAGGGAGAACAGCAGATTTCAGCTGTGCCTTTCTGTGGTTAGCAACCCACCTGCCTCGTCAAGCTGGCACCCGCCAGAAATAAACGGAGCAGAACTCTTAACAGCACCAAAAGAGACTCGGTCACATTGCTCCCCCTGCTGCTCTGCAAGACGGTGAGCCAAGAGGATGCCAGGGTCTGCAAATCTGGGGTTGCCGTGGTGGCAGGCAAAAAAGGAGCCGTGGTCCAGGCCCCTTGGAAAGGGTGCTGAGTGACTTTTTAATCCAGATGCCAAAGTCCCAACAGGGGCCCCTGGGAGCAAGGAATTACCCAGGTCTCCCGAAGGGATTCACACAACCGCCTGCTATGCAACAGGATTTACAGGCTATGCCCGACATGTTTCAGAATCTGCACCATTTAATGGCAGAACATTCAGATCGGTTTTTGCTCCTTTTGCATTGTGGTGTTCTATTTTGTGAGGGACACAGGTGGCGCTATGGGTTGAAACACAGAGCCTAGGACTTGCCGATCAGAAGGTCGGTGGTTCGAATCCCCATGACGGGGTGAGCTCCCGTTGCTCAGTCAACCTAGCATTTTGAAAGCACATCAAAGTGCAAGTAGATAAATAGGTACCACTGCGGCGGAAAGCTAAACGGCATTTCCGTGCGCTGCTCTGGTTCGCCAGAAGCGGCTTAGTCATGCTGGCCACATGACCCGGAAGCTGTACGCCGGCTCCCTCTGCCAATAAAGCGAGATGAGCGCCGCAACCCCAGAGTCGGCCACGACTGGACCTAACGGTCAGGGGTCCCTTTACCTTTATTCTATTTTGTGGGCTGGTGCTTACCCAGGCCCCCAGAAGGCAGGAGTGTTGACATCCAGCTCTTTCACAAATGAGCCAATTATATTGTGATCCACCATAGCAGGAACTGTTTCCTCATGTCTTCCTTTGGTTCTCTTGGGACCATTTTCTCAACACAAACTACACATGCCACTTTAAGTGGGTATTTTCTCTCTCTGCTTCTAGCAGGCCCCTATGAACAGCAGGGGACACGGGTGGCGCTGTGGGTAAAAGCCTCAGCGCCTAGGGCTTGCCGATTGAAAGGTCGGCGGTTCGAATCCCCGTGGCGGGGTGCGCTCCCGTTGCTCGGTCCCAGCGCCTGCCAACCTAGCAGTTCGAAAGCACCCCGGGTGCAAGTAGATAAATAGGGACCGCTTACTAGCGGGAAGGTAAACGGCGTTCCGTGTGCGGCTCTGGCTCGCCAGAGCAGCGATGTCACGCTGGCCACGTGACCCAGAAGTGTCTCCGGACAGCGCTGGCCCCCGGCCTCCTGAGTGAGATGGGCACACAACCCTAGAGTCTGTCAAGACTGGCCCGTACGGGCAGGGGTTACCTTTACCTTTATGAACAGCAGCTAGCAGCCAGAAATTCAACAGGTGAAGCACTCCTTGGCATGGAAATGCAGCTATGGGAAACTTAAGATTGCTTTAAAAAATAAAATAAAAGAGGAGACAATGCCATTCCTGGAGAATTGGTTCAGGAACAGTCGTTGGCCATGACAGCTAAATGCAAACACCTTGTTCCAAAGTAGCAGAGCTGGGGAGACAGGCAAAGGATGCGTGTGGAATTGTTTTGCTAAATCTTGCCCTGCTTATGGGTTGGCTCCCAGTACGTTTCCGAGCACAATTCAAAGTGTTGGTGCTGACCTTTAAAGCCCTAAACGGCCTCAGTCCAGTATATCTGAAGGAGCGTCCCCACCTCCATCGTTCTGCCCGGACACTGAGGTCCAGCGCTGAGGGCCTTCTGGCGGTTGCCTCACTGCGAGAAGCCAAGTTACAGGGAACCAGGCAGAGGGCCTTCTCGGTGGTGGCACTCACCCTGTGGAACGCCCTCCCACCAGATGTCAAAGAGAACAACAACTACCAGACTTTTAGAAGACATCTGAAGACAGCCCTGTTTAGGGAAGCTTTTAATGTTTGATGGATTACTGTATTTTAATATTTTGTTGGAAGCCGCCCAGAGTGGCTGGGGTATAAATTATTATTATTATTATTATTATTATTATTATTATTATTATTATTATTATTGGTTTTCCAGAGATGTTCTGAAGAGCGCATTTGGAAACAGAGAGAGGGCCAAAGCCTGGAAGAAGCAGAACACATGGTGCAATTCTAGAAGTCAAGGGTGCGAGGGGGAGAGCAGGTGTACCTACCCCCCAGGGAAGAGGTGGCTAGGGCCGTCACGTGGTAGGTGCGGGGGGAGCCGGTGTCTCCACTGGAGAGGAGCCCGCCAGAGGGCTTGAAGCATTTCTGCAAGAAGAGAAAACAGATGGAGTGGGGGTCAGGAGTGGGGGGAGTGAAAGAGCAGGACTGGGGAAAGAGGGGGGATTCATTCTGACAGGTGCATCACCTGCTTTTGGGTGGAGGAAGCCAAATTAGGCAAGAGAGAAAGTTATCTGCCCACCGGGCCCACTGCTGCCTGCTCTGTTTTGCAGTGACTCTTTCGGGGTCTCTGGCACCAGGAATAGCCATAGCTCAGAGGTAGAGCGCCGGCTTGGCATGCAGAAGGTCCCAGGTTCAATCCCAGGCAGCATCTCCTGGGGAAAAACTGCCTGTGCCTGAATCAACAGAGAAGCCGCTGCCCATCCGTGTGGACAGTATTGAGCTAGATGGGATCCCATGGTCTGACTCAGGATACGGACATTTCTTGTGTCTCAAAGGAAGAGCACCTGCTTGGCTTGCAGAAGGTGCCCAGGTTCTGTCCTTGGAATCTCCTGGTAGGGCTGGGAACGCCTGCCATCTGAGACCCCGGAGAGCCACTGCTGCCAGTCAGTGCAGGCACAGGAGACCAGAAATCTAGGAGCTCCACAGGTCCACCACCATTCCCAAGGGAGGGAGACGGGTCATGCCAAAAGCAGTTACCTCGCTGCCATCCTTCTCTGGGGCATTGGAAAGGCCATGGCTCTCTTGGGGGGCAACAGGGGGGCTTTCCAGCTGAGGGGTGACAACAGGCTGGTCCTTGTGGGCGCTTGTGAGGAAATCTGGAAGAAGGAGCAGAAGGGAACCATCAGCAGAGCTTCTGGAGGCAAAAAGGCCTCCTGGATGGGGAGGGGGCTGTCCTGCTGTGACCTCTACCCCCCCTCCCCTGCTACCCCCCCCCCAGTTAGGATCATGATAGAAACATATAAGATTATGCCTGGTATTGAGAAAGAAAGAAATGTTTCCCCCCCTCCCTCTCTCATAACATTTGGACCCAGTGGGATCACTCAGCGAAGCTGAATGGTGGGAGATTCAGAGGGCCTTCTGGCGGTTCCCTCATTGCGAGAAGTGAGGTTACAGGGAACCAGACAGAGGGCCTTCTCGGTGGTGGCGCCCGCCCTGTGGAACACCCTCCCTTCAGATGTGAAGGAAATAAGCAGCTATCTTATCTTTAAAAGACATCTCAAGGCAGCCCTGTTTAGGGAAGTTTTAATATTTAATGCTGTATTGTTTTTAACACTCCATTGGGAACCACCCAGAGTGGCTGGGGAAACTCAGCTAGATGGGCGGGGTATAAATTATTATTATTATTATTATTATTATTATTATTATTATTATTATTATTATACAGTGGTACCTCGGGTTACATACGCTTCAGGTTACCTCGGGTTAAGAACTTTGCTTCAGGATGAGAACCGAAATTGTGCTCCGGTGGCGCGGCGGCAGCAGGAGGCCCCATTAGCTAAAGTGGTGCTTCAGGTTAAGAACAGTTTCAGGTTAAGAACGGACCTCCGGAACAAATTAAGTACTTAACCCGAGGTACCACTGTACATATAAAACGGATGCCCTGCACAGATTTAAACAATGGAACTCACCCCAGCAGGAGGCAATGATAACCACCAACCTAGATGGCTTTTTTGAGGGGGGAGGACTAGACACATTCATAGAGGGATTACAGCTGCCAAAGGTTATAGCTATGACCTAATCCGGCAGTCTGAATACGAGGAATCGCAAGCTGGGAGTGCGCTGGTGTTATGCTCAGGTCGTCTCCCTTCTGGTTGGCTGCCACAAGGACAGGAGGCTGGGCTCAGAGGCCTTTGGCTGGATCCAGCAGGTCTCCTGTTCCTTAAATTTTCGAGTCACCTCACATCCGAGGCAATGAAATAAACACACTTCAAATGGGTTTGGATGACGCATCTTCCAGCAGGGAGCCGGGGAGCCAGGGGGACTCAGGACAAACCCAAAAGCTCTGTTCCGCAGCTGCTCTTTTTGCATTCAGAAAGGTGCCTACGTGGATCAACCCCCCCCTTTTTTAGTGGGGGGCTCCTTTCAGGAGAAAAGTGGTGACTGAGAACCAGCAGGAACCACCAGACACCTTTAAAGGGGCGCGAGGGGAGTGGAAGGGCGCCTGCCAGGACCCACCACCTACTAATCCCAGACAGAGGAGACACAGTGGTGGTCAGGGAGGGAGGGAGGAGGTTGGCATTTTGCACATGCTCAGAGGCACCTTTCTTTTTTACGCCTTCATATGCCCAGAACTGGCTCTGTAAGTCAACGCCAAAAGCTTGACCTTTGGGCTTGATCCATTGTGCCTCGGCTTGGAGGAGCCGAGAATCTTCGCCATCACGCCCCCTCTGCTCTACATATAAGGTTCTAGTCCTCACTGATTTCCAACAGAGCCTGTTTCAGTCCTTTGCTCTGCAGAAAGGAGCCAGGGCTCGCTCCATTTCGTCCAGTCTTTGCCTAGAGCAGCTATTTCCTTCACTTCCATGACCCCACCTCACTCAGTTTGCCAAAGGTGCCTTGATTTGAATCTTCCCTGAGCTTCCCTCTCTCTCCCCAGGGCTTGCGTTTCTCAGTCTCTCCTCACCTTTGTCTCAACAGTCTCAGACAGTCTGGTGCAAACAAGAGAAGCTGAAATCGGCTGCCAGCAGGGGATGGAATCACAGAATCGCACACAGAGAAGCCCTGTTGCTGCTCTGCACATCTCCCACTTCCCAGGGAGTTAAGCCTCTGTTTACACGGCCTTCTTCCCATGTCATAAGCGCAGTCCCTGAGCTCACAGTCTTCCTCTTCCTTTGCAAGTTTCCTCCCTTGCTTAAGAACCCAGCAGAGCCCCCACGCTTGGGGAAGGTCTCTGTGTGAGTCAAAAGCTGGCACTCACAGCTGCTCACTCCAAGAGGCCTGTTGGTTCTAGGGAGCTGCTTTGTCCCCATCTTAAGTTGATCCCCAGTACCAGCTTGGATCACACCCTAGGGCTTGCCGATCGGAAGGTCGGCAGTGCGAATCCCCGAGACGGGGGGTGAGCTCCCGTTGCTCGGTCCCAGCTCCTGCCAACCTAGCAGTTCGAAAGCACGTCAAGTGCAAGTAGATAAATAGGTACCGCTCTGGCGGGAAGGTAAACAGCATTTCCGTGCGCTGCTCTGGTTTGCCAGAAGCGGCTTAGTCAGGCTGGCCACATGACCCGGAAGCTGTACGCCAGCTCCCTTGGCCAATAAAGCGAGATGAGCGCCACAACCCCAGAGTCGTCCGCGACTGGACCTAACGGTCGGGGTCCCTTTACCTTTACTGAGCATGTGTAAAATACAAACAAGAGCCCTGCTGGATCAGACCATGGTGGGCTCATCTAGCCCAGCTTCCTCCTTCCCTGGAGAGACCAAGCAGGTGCCTCCCTAGAAAACCACAACTGTGGCTGTGCAGAGGTAGACTGCTGCTGGGTGTGGAGGCCCCATTTAGCCATCTCAGCTGGCAGCAACAGGGAGGCTAGTGGGGCTGGCAATGGATGTGGGGGGGGGGGTGTCTCCGGATTCGGAGGGAGCCCGGGGGTCCCAGCTGCTGCTGCTCTGGGTTGGGGGCATAGGTGTCAACGTTTTCCTTTTTTTAAAAGGGAAATTTCCTTATTCCGAATAGGATTCCTTGCAAGAAAAGGGAAAAGTTGACAGCTATGGTTGGGGGGAAGGGGCAGCAGGGGTCCTGTTTCCTACCAGTCCACGTGTTCTCCAGCCCTCTGGCTGCCCCCCTCCCACGTCTCTCCAGGGGCCTTGACGGGGAGGCAGAATCCGAACCCAGGACCTGCCGCACCTCAGGTCCTTCCCAAGCGTCTCCCTTCCCAGCGACTGCGAAGGGAGGGGCGGTGAGGAAAAGAAGAACAGGCTCCCCCCGCCGGGAGCGATTCTGGTCCCTCCGCTGCTGAGCAGCCGCGCGGAAGGAAGCGCGACAAGAAGCGGGTGGGGGGCGGATTAGCTGAGCCCAGCGCCCCCCCCCCAGCAGTCCGGGCGTCCCGGGGATGGGGAGGGAGAGGCGCAGACCCTTCTCGCCCTCCTTCGCCGTCCCCAAGGGCGGCGGCTCTGCTAACTCGTCCCCGGCGGGCGCCCCTGCGGAGGAAGGGAGCCCCTCTCCCCCTTCCCCTTGGGCGGCGCGGCGGCGGCGGAGAGGCTCACCTTTGGTCACGCACGACCCCATGGCGGCCGCCGCTGCCCTCCCCGCCGGGGCGCATCGAGGAGGCACCCGGAGCCGCCCGCGCGTCCGCCTCGCTCCTTTCCCGGCGGCGGCGGCGCCTGAAGCGAGGCGGCGGAGCTGCCTCCGTCGAGGGGCGGCGCCCCCACACGCTCAGCCCAGCCCAGCCGCCCGACGCCGCGCGCTCCTCGGGGCGGAGATCGCCGCGCCTCCGACGAAGCCGCCTCGAAGGCGGGGAGGGGCGCCGGGGACCCCCCAGGCGGAGGGGAAAGCGCTTTCCTCGCCGGAAAAGCCTCCGCGCAACGGCAGCCCCCTCCTTCTCCGGGGTCAGGCGCGAGGGCTTTGGGTGCTCCTCAGAGTAGACCCATTGAAATACGGGCGCGGGAGCCGGACGCTCTCCGCTGGGCATCTGAGCCGGGATTAGCATCCTGCCGGCGGTTCCCACGCCGCCACCCGTCGCGACTCCCGACAGCTTTGGGGGGCGGGGGGGGGGGCGACGAAGTTGCCAGAACAGCGTGAACAAGCAGCTGCCCCCGAAGTTATTGCAGTCCAAAGCAAGGACCTAAGGATAGAAACCCGTCTGCCTGGAGCTCTGCCCCTATTCAGTGTGGAAACTAGCAGCTGGGACCCCTTTTGTCAGGAGAGGGAGCTCTTGCGCCTTGGAAACGAGCCCTGGGATTGCCTAACTCGGGCTGGCAGCAATGGCTGGCCAGCAGGGGTGCTCACTTGAATAAAATATTGGGGGGCGCATAATTGATCACAAGAAACTTTGCACACAAAACGTTTGAATTGCAACGTCCATCAACTTTGCAAGGGTGCAGTCCCCTCAATTTGGGTGTGTGTGTGTGTGAAGGGCAGTGGCCTAGCACAGTTTGCTGGCGCCCAGGGCACATATGCATGTTGGGCAGGGCACAGAGGGTGAATGGTTCAGTTGGTTGGCATCTGTCTGTCTCAGTAGACAACAAGAGAGTGCACCTTCAGGGGTGAAGTCAACCCACTGGAGAGTTATAGCTCCTGCTGTGGCTGGAGAGACTGGTGCAGGAGAGAGACATGTTTTGTTGCAGCTGGGGCAGACGAAGGCATCCAGTTGTGCCGATGCACCGTGGCATTTCTTCTCTCTGCACTGCTCCCTGCAGTCATCCCTCCTCTGGTCACTGCTACAAATGCACAGCAAACTGCAAGCGATTCTCACCCAGCTGGGTTGCTGCTGCCCAGGGGCGTCTTACCCATAGATGGTAGTGGCGCGGGGTGCCAGGGCACCAGATTTTGGAGGGCGCCACAGGCTGAGAGTCTGGGAAGGAGAGTCAGGACGCACTCCCTTCCCTGCTCTGGGGCAGCCCACTCCTCTCCTCTCAGCCACCCATCGAAGAGTGCTGCATCTGGCTCCCCTCCTGCCAGCGTGCCTGGTTGCGGTTGCCTGACGGGCGCGATCGGGGGCAGGGCGCCCCTCTCTGGCCTTGTCACGGCCTGTGCACCTCCCTGCGGAGTCTGCGAGCGGAGCAGGGAAGCGCGCTGTGCGATCCTGGCGCCGAGCAAGGATGGCACAGCTGGCAGGCCACCTGATCTGCTTGCTGGCTCTCCTGTGGCGCAGACTCCCCCAGACGGGGGCTGTTAAGGGGCACCGGGCGCTTAGAGGGAGGCTTCGCGGGAGGCCACCTGGGCTGTGATCTGGGCACCTCCTCCGTGCAGTGCCGAGTGCGCGTCGAACCACGCGATGTAAACAAGCTGGACCGAAGTGCCCCCCCCTTAAAAAAGGTCGAAAACTCTGGGAAACGGGGGTTGGGCGCTGGCAGAGAGATATTTGTGTCAGGTTTGCAGACACCTCTGGCACGAGTCAGACCATTGGGTCCATCTAGCTCAGTATTGTCTACACTGGCTGGCAGCAGCTTTCCAGGACTGAAGGCAGGGAGTCTCTCCGAATCTTACGCAGAGATGCTGCCCGCAGGGTATTAAACCTGGGAGTTCTGCATGCACACAGCCATGGGTAGCCTTTAGCCTCCACCCTTTAGAAAGGGATACAGGAGCCTCTCTGGCCCCATGAATGCAGAGGACACCTGGCTCCACTGCTTGGCGTTGTACAGTGGTGCCCCGCAAGACGAATGCCTCGCAAGACGGAAAACCCGCTAGACGAAAGGGTTTTCCATTTTGGAGGCGCTTCGCAAAATGAATTTCCTATGGGCTTGCTTTGCAAGACGAAAATGTCTTGCGAGTTCCTGCAGGGTTTTTTTCCTCCCCCCCCTTTCCCCAAGCCGCTAAGCGCTTATCAGCTGATCCGCTAAGCCGCTTAACAGCTGATCTGCTAAGCCGCTTAACAGCTGATCCGCTAAGCCGCTTAACAGCTGATCCGCTAAGCCGCTAATCAGCTGATCCGCTAAGCCGCTAATAGCGCTAATCCGCTAATGGGCTTGCTTCGCAAGACAAAAAAACTGCAAGATGAAGAGACTCGCGGAACGGATTCTTTTCGTCTTGCGAGGCACCACTGTACAAGAGAGACAATGGGACATGGATGGGGCCCAAGTACCTCTCCCCCAGGGGTCAATGCATACAGAAGGATGCCAGTGATGGGGATTGCAAGTGAAGGGAAGCGTGTTGCTGCTGCTGCTGCTGGTGATTTGGCATTTTGGGTCTTGCTTACGGGCTTCTTCCCTTCGGGGCCTCTGGTGGGCCAGTGTGGAGGACAGGGTGCTGGACCAGATGGCCTGCTCTTACACTTCTCGATTCCACTTTTTAGAGCTCTGCTCTGCGCACGGGGCAAGTCCTTAAGAGGAAAATGTCTGCGACAGCGCAAGTTCAAAGGACTTTATTCGAAATCCAAAATAGTCAAAAAGACACCCATAGGGATGAAACACGTTTTTAAGCAGGATCATTGTACATAGCAGGACACATTTAAAAATAAGGCCACTCCGAACAAAACCAGAGGCTGTCCAAAAACAAAGTCTTAGGAGGAAGAGGAGGATCTCAAGAAGGGAACTGGAGCTCGGGCACTAAACCACTTCCAAACTGGGAGAAAAATATTCAGCAGAAGGAAAATCGCTATGCAAACAGTGCATTTGTCGATAAAAGAGAAAGATGCACTTCAAAACAAAGCACAAGTTTTTGTTTTTGTTTTTTAAAGGCAGGCAGCTGTTTGCACTGCAACCCTTCCTAGGCAGAAATGCCCTGACCGTGGGACTGTGCTAAAATTGTTGAGAGTCTCTGGGATCCTGAAAGCACAGACCCTTTTCTGCTTGGAGATCTGCCCTATTGCCTCCCGTTGATCAGCTGTGACGGACTAGAAGGGAAGAAAGAATGTCTGGCACAGAGAAAACCGGCAGGATTATTTTCCTGTTAAAAAGGCTTGCAGAGAATTCCAACTGGGGTCTCTCTCCCCAGAAAAACAAAAAACACGTACGTGGCACACTGGAAAACAACTTGCAAGCAGCCAGTCCACAGTTGCACCACACTTAATTGAAGACAACTTTTGGTCAATGGTGGTGGTGGTGGGGGAGGTCATAGGTCAGCGTTAATTCTTGGGAGGGGATGTTGGCGGAGGGATGGAGAGGAATTAAAAGTTGCTGGAGCCTTTTCGTCCTGGATTCTGGCCACTCTCTTCTCTGTGGCAACTTCCCAAGTAAATCAACAAACACTTTTGCCCCAAAGGTATCAGTCCAAGTCTCCCAATTGTGTGTAAAGCACAATTCGTCTCACCCCACCAACCCCAGCATTTGGAAGCTCATTTGAGGTCAACTGCTTGTTAAGTCCAGCTCCTCCTCCTCCTCAGTGGCACGACAACCCAGCCCCACTGTTGCCAGGATTGGGTGTTGTTCAGTAAGGGGTGAGCAGCTGGTCTGGAGGGCTCCGATGTCAGCCTGCGGGGAGAAACAGAGTCCTCAGGGCCAAGAGGTCTGCAGCTCCAGCAATGCCCCCCACCCCACACAGCAACTGCTCCCCACCCCCATTTCCTGGGCTCAGCCACACTGTTTCTTCATGCCCCAACCCTACAACCCAGGAACTTTATTATTTTAGTTACTCGCTGAATTTATCTCCCACCTTTTTCTCCAATTTCCACACTGTTTCTTCATGCTCCGACCCCATAACTTTATTATTTTAGTTACTCACTGAATTTATCTCCCACCTTTTTCTCCAACATGGTGTGCATAGTTCTCTCCCTCAATTAATGCCCACAACGACCTTCGAGGTGGGTTAGGCTGAGAGAGGCAGTGACTGGCCCAAGGTCACACCCAGGGTGTATCATCCTGGCCCAGTGGGGATTCGAACCCTGGTTCCCCCAGACCCTAGTGCAACACTAACGACTACATCACCATCACCACCAGGGCTTACAGAGGGCCCTTCTTCACACCCAGTGCTGGGACACCCAGTGAGAAATGAGGAGAACATACCCCCGCCTCTGCTCAGATAAATCTCGTGACCTGCAGGAGCAACAAGGCATGGCTTCAGAAGCAGCCCGGCCAGCGAACTGAGTTAGCTTCTGCAGCCAGTCAGGAACAGCTGATAGATCCAGCTTCAGGTAGCGCCAGAATTGAGTCAGGGGCCTCCCTCACATTGCTGCACCTTCTATATAGGGCTCATTCTCTCCTCTGCCTCCCTAGGATTCACTCAGACCTCTTCGTATACAGACTCCCTGGCACTGCTGAGCACCCATCACTATGGCCCAAGTACTCCAAGCAGCAGGCCGGATGAAGCCGCCCTTTTAAAATTACCCACAATGCCCCTGAACCTAGCATTGGCCTGGGGAATTGTGGGAAGTGAAACAGGTGGCTGCAGCCAGAACTGCTTGCCAGCCTGGGCCCAGTGACGGAGCAAGGAAGCCCCCGTTCTCTTGCTGCCTTAGGCCAGTGCCTTCCAGATCATGCTGGACCCTTAAAATGTGCAGCAGCCAGCAGAGCCAGTGGCCAGGGATGCTGGGAGTTGTAGTCCAGAAAAATCTGGAAGGCCACAGGTCTCCCCAATCCCTGCCTTAGACCACAGAATCACAAGAGGGCCATGCAATGCAGGAATATTTCTCCCAGTGTGGGTCTTGAACTCACGGCCCTGAGATTAAGAGTCTCGTGCTCTACCAACTGAGCTATCCTTCCTGTGGCAATCGGGGCTGGAAGAGAGGCTTCCCCTTCTCTGAGAAACACAGGAAGATGCCTTCTATCAAGCCACACCACTGGCCCATCTAGCTCAATACTGCCTACACTGATGGGCAGCAGTGGCACGCCAGGCTCCTCGCCACGATGGCTGTGCTCTGCCTTTGCAGTTGGAGGCATCAATGCTTCTGAATGCCGGTTGCTGGAAACCACAGGAGGGGAGAAAGTGCTAATGTGCTCCAATCAAATGCTCCTGTGCTTCCCACAGGCAACTGTTCAACCACGATGCTGGGCTGCTAAGTGGCTCATTGGTCTGACCCAGCAAGCTCTTCTTATGGTTGAGGACATTCCCAGCCCTACCTGGAGATGCTGCCAGCAGGGACCATCTGCTCTGCCACTGAACTACATCCCTTCTCCAAGGAGACACCCCTGCAGGAGATGCCCCTCTGGCCTTTAAGCACAGAACACCCCGTCAGAGCCAAACCAGGCCCTCCCCAGAGCTCACCTCTTCCTGGAGAGAAGGGTCCTCTGCTCCGAGGTCACCAGCCGCCTCCTCTTGCAGCGGTAGAGACGGGGCTGGCACCTCCTGGTCTCCTTCTCCTCCATCCTCTTTCAGGCGCTTTGCTTTCTGGTCACAGGAAAGGGGCTCGGCCCGCCGCTGATGGGCACCTTGCTTGCCCTTCAGGACCTCCTCAAGGCCTGCTGCCAAGACCATCTTCTGCTGGGCACACCTGGTCAAATCGGCCGCCAGCTCAGTTGCCTCCTGGGACATGGCTTCTATCTTTACCCTCAGCTGAGCTATGTTGGTCCTGACCGTCTCCAGTATACCATTCTCCTTCTCATCGTCGTCATCGTCATCCTCCTCCTCCTCCTCGTCATCCTCCTCCTCGTCCAACGTGTCATCCTGGATCTTCAGCTGGGCTTCCAGCTCCGCCAGCCTCTCCTCCTCGGCCTCCATGTCACGGCGGGTCTCCTCACACCCCACACAAACATCTGTCACCTAGGATGTCAAAGGAGTACTCAGAAAATATGTTTAAACAGGGCTCACAGCTGCTACAGCTCCCATTAACATCTCTCACCACTGGCCACCCATGCTGACTCTTGGGACTGGTGGGAGTTGGGGGCCAACAAGATATGGGGGACCATAGTTGAAGCAGACCGTCACTTGTTTGCTGCCCCTGCTGCCCTCCCCACAACCTGGCCTTCTTTGAGCACACATAGGGGGAGTCTGTGTCCCCCTCGCCAGCTATAGCTGGGCTGCAGTCTCAACCTTCCCTGCCCATGAGCCATGTTGCTCCAACAGGAGCAGTGGTGGCCCTGAAGTGTGAATGGGGGCCCCTTTGCAACCAGCAACGACATCGGGATAACCATTGTTATCTTCTCCAATGGGATTCCATGACAGATCACATTAAAAACAAACAAACCACATTTCATATTTTCCTTAAAATGGCTGTACAGTGGTACCTTGGGTTACATACGCTTCAGGTTACATACACTTCAGGTTACAGACTCCGCTAACCCAGAAATAGTGCTTCAGGTTAAGAACTTTGCTTCAGGATGAGAACAGAAATTGTGCGGTGGCAGCGGGAGGCCCCATTAGCTAAAGTGGTGCTTCAGGTTAAGAATAGACCTCTGGAACAAATTAAGTACTTAACCCGAGGTACCACTGTACTGGATTATCTCACATGTCCAAGTCGCTGGTATGAATGAAAATTTCCTCTGCCTTATCGTTTTCGAGTTACTGCAATGCTCCACTTTTACCACGCCAGTGCTACTCAAAATATATACAACAAAAACATAATCAGAGCCCTACTCTCACGGTTTGCCTAGCTCAGTGTTGCCCACACTGCCTGGCAGCAGCGGCTCCCCAGGGTGCAGGCAGGAGACACTCTCAGCCTTACCTGGAGACATTGCTGCGGATTGAACCTGGGTCCTTCTGCAAGCCAAGCAAGGGCTCTGAGACAGTGGTGGCCCTCTGTTAAGCTGCTCAATACAGAGGCAGACCCTTGGTCCGGCAAGCTCAGCATGGTTGACACTGACCGGCAGCAGCTCTCTCCAGGAATTCAGGTAGGGGAGTCTTTTCCCAGCCCTCCCTGGAGATGCTGCCAGTGGGGACTGAACCTGGGCCTTCTGCATGCAGAGCAGGTGCTCTAGTGCTGAGCTGCAGCGCTTCCTCCACATAGCACAACGAGGGTCACAATCATCACCAGCCTGTGCCTGCCTACCACCCGTCTTCCCTGCCTAACTCTCCAGAGCTGCCTCCCTTTCGTTTCAACTCAAAAAGCTGAACTTGCACCACAAGGTGGCTCAGGAGGGTCCCCTATTAGATGCCCATTCCCCCAGCAGCTCATGAAAGACTAGATCCCATTTCTTGCCTGTTGCTGCCCCCCACCAGCCCCCCAAGGAGCGAAGCCTGCTCTCACCTTCATCTGAAGCTTGTCTAGAAGGGATAAGTGGTCCTGGATTTTTTTCTGGGGAACAAGACAGATATAGGCGTGAAGACTGGAATCGGCGCCCACAAAGGCCATCTCCCCAATATATCCAGCACCCCCCCCCTTGCAGTGAAGGGACAGACACTCAGGACCCCCATCCTCACACAGAGAGATCAGAAAAGGCTGCCTGGGTGGCTTAGGTAGTGGCAAGAGAACTTTTGTCAGGGGTAAGGATGTTGTTTTCCATCACTACCATCCCTGACCATTGGCCACACTGGGTGTTGAGGGAAGAAGAAGAAAGAGTTTGGATTTGATATCCCGCCTTTCACTCCCTTTAAGGAGTCTCAAAGCGGCTAACAATCTCCTTTCCCTTCCTGCCCCACAACAAACACTCTGTGAGGTGAGTGGGGCTGAGAGACTTCAGAGAAGTGTGACCAGCCCAAGGTCACCCAGCAGCTGCATGTGGAGGAGTGGAGATGCGAACCCGGTTCACCAGATTACGAGACTATTATAATATAATATAATAATAATAATAATAATAATAATAATAATAATAATAATTTATTATTTGTACCCCGCCCATCTGGCTGGGTTTCCCCAGCCACTCTGGGCGGCTTCCATAGAAACCAAAAAACACTAAAATATCATACATTAAAAACTTCCCTGAACAGGGCTGCCTTAAGATGTCTTCTGAATGTCAGGTAGTTGTTTAACGTTCTGACATCTGATGGGAGGGCGTTCCACAGGGCGGGCGCCACTACCGAAAAGGCCCTCTGCCTGGTTCCCTGTAGCTTTGCTTCTCGCAATGAGGGAACCGCCAGAAGGCCCTCTTAACCCTAGTTAAGACTACCGCTCTTAACCACTACACCACACTGGAGGTGCACCTAGGCTCTCTTGTGCCCTTGGCAAGGAGTTGTGCCCGGCCTCCCAGAGCAGCCGAGGAGCAGTCCAGGGAGTGTGCAGACAGGCGCCTAGCCAGAGTGGAGAGGTGTGATTTCTGCACACACACACCCCGGGTCTATGCCATTGGCAGGGTCCAACCCTACGCCTGCCATCTTTCAAAGAAGGTTTTTTTAAAAAACTATTTTTGGGAAATTTGCAAACAAGGGTTGCCATATGCCCAGGTTTTCCCGGACATTTTTTGTCGATTGTCGGGAATTCCGCCCGGATGCTATTTTTGGCGGATATCCTGGACTTATGAAGCAGCCTGAAAAGTCTCTGCTCCTGGCAGATTCTCTTAGTCAACAACCCTGTTCAAATCATGCCTCCTACCCAGCCATTCCAAGTGCCCCTTTAAGGATCCAGCTCTAAGAGCTACAGGAGCACCAGGGTGACAGAAGAAATCAGCGGAGTCCAAGCTCACAATCCCCCCCCCCCATGTATCAAAACTGGTGGTCCTGTCTCCAGGTGAGACACTCCTTCATTTCAGCAGTTCGACAAGGTATGCTCCTGGAGCATTTGAAGAAGAAGAAATAAACTCAACAGCAGCAGCAGCATGCTGCCTTTCTGGGACCCAGGTCTGCCTATGCTGGGCCACGAAGTGGGGAGTCCCAGTTTATATATCTGGGGAAAATAAGGGGCCTCCAGGACAGAGCTGGAAGCCACCATTTTGCAATCCCAGAGGAAAACCCCACTGCAACTTCCCTAAGCCAAGTTGCTCCCTGAAATAAATAAAGGTCTTGTGTATATAATAAAGGTTCATTTATGTACAGCGGTGCCCCGCAAGACGAATGCCTCGCAAGACGAAAAACTCGCTAGACGAAAGGGTTTTTCGTTTTTTGAGTCGTTCCGCAAGACGAATTTCCCTATGGGCTTGCTTCGCAAGACGAAACGTCTTGCGAGTTCTTGCGAGTTTGTTTCCTTTTTCTTAAAGCCGCTAAGCCGTTAATAGCCGCTATGCCACTAATAGCCGCTAAGCCGTGTTGTAAATAAAAATATGCCCTTTTCCCTTATGGGGTATCCAAGAGCCCATATAGAGTCCTTACATAGGTTCCCTATTGGTAGGAGAAAATAACAGAGGCCAACCAGAGAATATTGAGAAGCAAAGCAGCTAGTAAGCTTGATCTTTATTGATCTGTTGCAACAGGGTGCTCCCCTCACACGCAGGAGAGGAGGAGGACCCAGAAAGATGGTGTGCAAGACCTTATAAAGACTTTTGAAATTCCCATTCTCTCGATCAAGACCACCCCCAGAACATTACACATACATCACAGAAGGGGTGTAACCTAAGACCACCCCTCAGATACATCCCACCTACATCACAGAAATTTAAATGTTGTTTTTCTCCTGTCACAGTTTATCTCCTGTCTGGCAAGTTACTTGATTGGATTGCCTGGGGAGCCTGGCCATTCTTTTGTAGTGGTAAAATACTTATTTCCTGGGCCAGGTCACAGGCTCACACCTTATTCAAACAGACATATCCTTGAGACAGGATTTGTGAGGAAAGAGACAATGGGGAGGCTTTTCCAGTTTAACCTTGCAGAGAAAGGATTTGGTCAGTTTAGGAATCAAAATGGTTCCAGGTTGGCTTTCCTGTGCTGATCTATGTACGTGTGGTTATGAATGTTGCCATATATCTAAGACCATAAAATTCCTATCACAGCCGCTAATAGCTGTGCTTCGCAAGACGAAGAGACTCGCGGAACGGATTAATTTCGTCTTGCGAGGCACCACTGTACCAAGCAAACACCTACATAGATATATAGGCCACATGTCTGAAGCAGCACAGGAGAGCAGCCATGGAGCCATTTTGACCCTCAGGCTGACCAGGTGTTTTCTCTGCAAGGTCAAATGGAGGAGCCTCCCCGTTGTCTTTTCCTTCACAAATCCTGTCTTAAGGGTAGGTCTGTGTATGAAGAGGGTGAGCCTGTGATCTGGCTCAGGAACTAAGTATTTATCATTACAAAAGACTGGCCAGGCTCCCCAGGGTAACAATCCAGTAAACATTAACAGGTAACTTGCCAGGCAGGAGGTAAACAACCCACTCAGACTTCTGCCTTAGCCTGCCCTTTCTGTGATGTAGTTATGATGTTTCTGGGGGTGGTCTTTGACTTCAAGGTGGGCAATTCAAAATGTCTATATAAGGGCAGGCACACCTTGGTTCGGGTTCCTCCTCCTTCTCCTGCGTGTGAGGGGAGCACCCTGTTGCAACAGATCAATAAAGATCAGGCTTACTAGCTGCTTTGCTTCTCAGTATTCTCTGCTTGGCCTCTGTTATTTCCTCCGACCGATGGAGAACCTACAAAGGACTCTATGAGGGCTCTTGCGTCCCCCATAAGGGAATAAGGGCAGATTTTTGTTTATTACATCCCCATTCACCTTTTCTCCCAGGAAAGACATTGCAGAGAAAGAATGAACACAACAGGATACAAAGGCTTCAAAGAAAGAAGGAAGGAGGTGTTGCACACACACCCCCCCCCATCCAAAGAGCCATCCATCCACAGCAAGAAGGTGGGAGGAAAACTCACCAAGTTCTTCTCAAGGAGGTTAACTGACTGCATGCTGTCTGCACACCTAGAAAGGGAAATCCAGTCAGTGTCCTGAAGAAAAACAACAAATTTTCAACCCTGCAGAAGGGACTGAGAAGATGAGGCAGGGGCTCCGCTCACAGAGGAAACGACACTTTTACCAATGCAGAAAGTTTTAGTTGCAAGCAAAAGGGGGGATGAAATGAACCAGCCACACAAGCAGTAAAACTTGGGGAGGGGGGAGTGTTGTGAAGAAGTCTGAGATTCCAAATTCATCTCTTTTTCACGTAAGCAGCCCCCCCTCCCCATACCTTTTTATTCTGTAATTTATCTCTTCTCTGGAACCCACAAATATACCTTTGCTTATAGATTTCATTCTTGCTGCTGGAATAATTTGTGCTGCATTAGGTGTTTCTGTGCTGCGTTTTCCACAGACATTCCTTCTCTCTTATCACATGGTACCCAATCATTTTTATGGCACTAAAACTTTTTTGGTTTTGGCTTGTGGACAACTTCGAATATGGGTTATTTTCCTTTTCTCTTTCTATACTTTTGGCCAAAAAGAAAACAGTGAGGGTCAGCCTTTTCTATTATATATTACATTTAAATCATTATTTTAGGATAGACTTGTATTTTATTCAGATTTTCCAGTATTCTCTATCCTGCATGCCAAATTGCTCTCCACTACTTTCCATCTGAAATTGATTCTATTTCCTAGAATTCCACTCTGAATTTGGAGCTCTGTCTCTTTCTTAAACTAAAATGCTATATAGTCAGGACACTTGGAAATGTTATAAATGTTAGCCAGAGAGTTGGTAGAATTTAGGTGGGCTAATGTAGTTTAAATTGTAGTTCATCTTAATCTTGCACATTGTAATCCTTACATATTGTTACAAGTTTTTGTGGGTTCAAGGCATCCATAATTTATAGAGTAAATGTGAGGTATGAATAAATGCTTCGAGTCAACCTGGGTGCCAGATGCAGATATAGCAGTGATGAATCAGTTTCTTGACCAGGAATCAACTGGGGACAAGAACCATCATATAGTACAAAAGGAGGTGGTACTGCCTGACATCAGATGAGTGCAAGCTCCTCCTCCCATGTACAGTGGTGCCTCGCAAGACGAAATTAATTCGTTCCGCAAGTCTCTTCATCTTGCGGTTTTTTCGTCTTGCGATGCACGGTTTCCCATAGGAATGCATTGAAAATCAATTAATGCGTTCCTAGGGAAACCGCCTTCAGACCAGGTCCGGGGACAGTCTGTCCCCGAACCTCTTCTGAAGGCTGGGGGGGGGACAAGGGCTTTTCTTCCCACCCCCAGCATTTTAAAAAACCCTGGGACAGCGGAGGACTTCTCCGCTGTCCGGGGCGATATTAAAATGCTGGCGGGCGGCATTTTAAAATCGCCCCGGACAGCGGAGGACTTCTCCGCTGTCCGGGGCGATTTAAAAGCCCCTGGGAAGGCAGGCAGGGGGGACAAAGACTTTCGCCCCCTGCCCGCCTTCAGAAGGTGTTCCCGCCCCCCGCCCCGCTTCGGAACAGCGTTCCGAAGTGGGGCGGCTGGGGCAGGTGTCCCCGCCCCCCCTCCCCACTTCGGAACAGCTTTCCGAAGTGGGGCGGCTGGGGCAGGTGTCCCCGCCCCCCCTCCCCGCTTCGGAACAGCTTTCCGAAGTGGGGCGGCTGGGGCAGGTGTCCCCGCCCCCCCGCCCCGCTTCGGAACAGCTTTCCGAAGTGGGGCGGCTGGGGCAGGTGTCCCCGCCCCCCCTCCCCGCTTCGGAACAGCTTTCCGAAGTGGGGCGGCTGGGGCAGTTGTTCCCGCCCCCCCTCCCCGCTTCGGAACAGCTTTCCGAAGTGGGGCGGCTGGGGCAGTTGTTCCCGCCCCCTCTCCCCGCTTCGGAACAGCTTTCCGAAGTGGGGCGGCTGGGGCAGGTGTCCCCGCCCCCCCTCCCCGCTTCGGAACAGCTTTCCGAAGTGGGGCGGCTGGGGCAGGTGTCCCCGCCCCCCCTCCCCGCTTCGGAACAGCTTTCCGAAATGGGGCGGCTGGGGCAGGTGTCCCCGCCCCCCCTCCCCGCTTCGGAACAGCTTTCCGAAGTGGGGCGGCTGGGGCAGGTGTCCCCGCCCCCCCTCCCCCCTTCGGAACAGCATTTTAAAACCTTCCCGGGACACGGGGAGATTTTAAAATGCTGCGGGTCGGCAGCGCTTCGCTCCCGACCCCCAGCATTTTAAAACCTCCCCAGGACAGAGACTTCTCTGCTGTCCCTTGGAGATTTTAAAATGCTGGGGGTCGGCAGCGAACGCTTCGCTCCCGCCCGCCAGCATTTTAAGATCGCCCGGGGCAGGCGGGGGGAAGGCAGGCGGGGGGGGGCAAGACTTTTGCCCCCCTCCGGCCTTCAGAAGAGGTCCTCTTCTGAAGGCCGGCTGTGGGCGAAAGTCTTTGCTCCCGACCGCCAGCATTTCCCTATGGGCTTTCGTCTTGCGAAGCAAGCCCATAGGGAAATTCGTCTTGCGAAGCGCCTCCAAAACAGAAAACCCTTTCGTCTTGCGGGTTTTCCGTCTTGCGAGGCATTCGTCTTGCGGGGTACCACTGTAGTATGGTGAACAGGCAAAGGCTAGGTTTAGAATTTCAGGCTTGGATGGCAAGGGAAATTGTGGCATTTTGCAAGAGGTTTGAAAAGCAAGGAAGAAGGAGGGCCAGTAGAACTCTCGGTGTCCTAGCTGGACCAGGCTGTAACAAAGGGACAGGCAGCATGGCTGGTTCCTCTGCTTGTAGACCTAAGCCTGCTGCTCCTAACATTAATAGAATCATAGAATTGTAGAGTTGGAAGGGACCCTGAGGGTCATCTAGTCCAACCTGCAATGCAGCAATCTTTTGTTCCAACGTGTGGTGTGAACCTACGATCTTAAGAGTCTCATGCTCTACTGACTGAGCTAAATGATTCAGAAGACCAAATAATCTTCTGCAGATATGAATGCTCTGAACCCTCTCTCCCCGTAGACTCAGGTTGTGTATATATATATGTGTGTGTGAGAGAGTGAAAATAAACCATATATCATAAAGACACTACAGTTTCTGCTGTGCCTAACTTCCAAAGGAAACACAGACCCTGGGTAAACGCCAAGATGATTGGAATCTCATGCAGCTCAGAGATTGGGGTGGTGTGTACCAATATAATCACCACTTAACAGAGTCTTTCATTCTTATTTTCTTACATTTCCATCACATTTCCCTTGTGCATTTTACAGAAGTACATTTACATTTTCCTTCTGTGAGATTTGTTTGTGCCTATACTGTGTTTTTAATTACTATATATATATATATATATATATATATATATATATATATATATATGTTCTTAACTGCATATATAAACCACATGTCTGAAACCCCACAGAAAAAGTCCTGAAACCATTTTGTCCCTCCCAAATTGACCTCAAATATTTCTCTGCAAGGTCCAAGGAAAATGGAAAAGCCTCCAAATGTCTTTTCCTTCACAAACCCTGTCTTAAGGGTATGTCTATGTATGAATAGGGTGAGCCTGTGACCTGGCTCAGGAACTAAGTATTTGTCATTACAAAAGACTGGCCAGGCTCCCCAGGGTATCCAATCAAGTGACCATTAACAGGTAACCAGTTGCAACAGTTTCAATAAAGATCAGGCTTACGAGCTGCTTTGCTTCTCAATATTCTCCGACTGATGGAGAACCTACAAAGGACTCTATAAGGGAATAAGGGCAGATTTTTGTTTATTACATATTCTTTCTGGATCATGCTTCCATCGTTCACAAACAAATGCTTCTAACCACCTTGTTTAATATAAAGCTCTACAAAACTGATTCCCGCCTCTGGTCACACCCAACTCCCCTGGAACAAACTGCAAACCTCCCTTTCACACCCACTCTAATCTCTTCACTTGCCAGTAACTCCCCATCCTCCCTCCCCAGAGAGGTTTACCCAGTGCAGGGTTTCTGCAGCCTTTACTTCAAGTTTCCACAGGTGTTGAAAAAAAAAATCATGCTGTTTCCAAAGCCAGAATTTTTATATGGCTAAACAGCTGGGGTTTTGTGTGTGTTTTTACAGTTGCCGCTTTAATTTATACCGTCCATGGGTGCAATAAAGGTAAAGGGACCCCTGCCCATTAGGTCCAGTCGTGGCCGACTCTGGGGTTGCGACGCTCATCTCGCTTTATTGGCCGAGGGAGCTGGCATACAGCTTCCAGGTCATGTGGCCAGCAGGACTAAGCCGCTTCTGGCGAACCAGAGCAGCACACGGAGACGCCGTTTACCTTCCCGCCAGAGCGGTACCTATTTATCAACTTGCGCTTTTGTGCTTTCGAACTGCTAGGTTGGCAGGAGCTGGGACCAAGCAACGGGAGCTCACCCCATTGCGGGGATTTGAACCGCCGACCTTGATTGGCAGGTCCTAGGCTCTGTGGTTTAACCCACAGCGCCACCCACATCCCTTATGGGTGCAATAAACACACACAATTATTTATGCCAGAAGCCATTCTGGGAACTTGCCCGTTGAAATGCTGCCCCTGGGTATCTATTATTATTTTTTGCATAAATCTACAGGCTGGAGGCAGCCTACTTTGCAGGGTTGTCGTAACCCAGCTTCACCGCACACAAAGTGAAACTAATAACCGCACGGGCTGCGGTTGCAGGACAATTTCATTTTAATTAATCAGTTTATTTATGGAAGTACTTATTAAAGTATTTATGCACTCCCCCCCCCCGCCCGCGCGCATAAAACACCAGGGCGGAGCAAAGCAAAAAACACACATATGAGATTTCGGAAAGTTTTGCGGGTTTTTCCCACGCCCGCAGAACGCAGCTAGCCAATCAGAGCTCGATCCCCCCCCCCAAAGCCCCGGATGTTCTCCTGCCAGGGCGGTGGCGGCGTCAATTGCCCTCACAGCCAGTGACTTTGTCTCTCTCTGATTCTAATGGAAGCTAGGGATCCCAGGCGTCCCGCCCCCGAGACAGGAAACGCCCTTCTAGCAGTGCCACGCTCTATGGCGGTTAAGCCGCTTACCCGTCCGCCATCTGACTCCTGCTGTAACCGGCCTTTCGCTCCGCCTCTCCCGTCCTCTCTATTTGAATCATCCCTCCCGTTTCCCGGCATCCCCCGCGCGCCCTGCATTGGTGGCAGGTGGAGCGCGGGGGATGCCGGGAAGCGGCTTGTTCAAAAGGGAGCCCCGCCCGGAGGAGGACAAGCGAGAAGCTTCGGCTAGAGCGGCAAGATGGCCGGTGGTTACAGTACAGAGCGGCGCTTCCTGTTTCTTGTGTGACGTCTTCTTATTACCCTCTTTAGGGGGGTCAAAGCTAGCCAGCTGCTCCTTAGGAGGGCGCTATGGGGCCCCTTTTAGAGGGCGAATCCAAGGGACAGTTAGCCTGTTTGGTTTAAGACAATTTGTCGTCGTCCCCAACCCTTACCCCAGAATTTCTGCCCTCCCTTCCCCACAGGTGGGCGGGGTTTGCTGCACCTGAGCTCACCTGGGCAGGTGCCTCACACCTGCTTGAGCCAGCCCTTTTTTTTGTATATAATTTTTATTAGTTTTTTAACATATCATTTTCAACAATAATTAAACATACTTCTACATCTTATTCAAATTTTTGACTTCCATCAATTCTGTCTGAAAATTTTCCAATCTAATCTCTCAGTATGCATTTCTTATCTTCCCTAGTACATTTCAATCTCATAACCAACATCACTATCTTTTTTTACTTTCTAACACTTCATATATTTCTCCTTACAAAACTTCTTGTAATCCTACTAGCGTAATTTGTTGATTACAGTTGCTCTTCAAATAATTCATATACTTCTTCCAATCTTCTGTAAATCTCTGGTCCCACAGGTTTCGAATCCTTCCTGTCATTTTGTCAGTAGTCCATTAATTTCGACTGGATAGTGTTCTCGAAGCTACCAGCATGAGTTTGACCAACTGCGGGAGACAGTGGAAGACAGAAGTGCCTGGCGTGCTCTGGTCCATGGGGTCACAAAGAGTCGGACACGACTAAACGACTAAACAACAACAAATTCTTTCGTCAGAATTTCTTCTTGTTTCCATTTCTGGGCTAAC